GTGTGTGTGTGTGTGTGCGTGCCTGCGTGCCTGCGTGCCTGCGTGCGTGTGTTTGTGTGTGTGTTTGTGTGTGTGTGTGTGTGTGTGTGCCGATGTTATAGTGCTAGCCCACTGAGATATCATGCTGCAGTTTAACATGAATATCCCACTCAGACACAGAATACTGACTCCGAGCCGACCAGTCCTTGTTTTAGCCCCTTAATGCCGAGCGCCAGACAGGGTAACACGTACTATCTTTTTACGTCTTTTTGTATGACGCGGCCTGTAATCGATCTCCAGGCAGACGTTCTACCACTAGACCACGGAGGCGGTCGTTTCACTGTAAAGTCGGGGAGGCAGTCCTGTTAACTGTCAACTTACATTTGTAATTTAAATACAATCCCACGATCCCACGATTTTTAAGACAATTATATCTTCGAATTTTTTAATTATCCGAGATACACACAGCTTGGAACTAATTAAAAACGTTAGGTTTATATTATGCTACATTTTGCGTCACGTAAAAGAAAAGAGAGTCATATTTTTTACAATTCAACTGTGGTTATATAATGCGAATTCTTGAAACAAATTTTTGTCACATGTACATGTAGATCCGGCTGGTGGAGATATTGTGAAATCTCATGTATCCGCATCGCTGAGTGTCATCTGACTAAACCTATCACAATCCTACGCCAAGATCCTGGTATATGAAGGAATATACACAAGAAAATATATCTGCTGTTGCTGTCATATTATGATCCAGTATCAAGGATATACATATATCGTGTCATATTATGATCCATTTTCAAGGATATACATATATCCTGTCATATTATGATCCAGTATCAAGGATATACATATATCGTGTCATATTATGATCCAGTATCAAGGATATACATATATCGTGTCATATTATGATCCATTTTCAAGGATATACATATGTCGTGTCATATTATAATCCAGTACCAAGGATATACATATATCGTGTCATATTAGCAAATGGTACAGTTTTCCATGGGTGATATACGCAGCAGAAATTTGTTCTCAAGAAAGAACTTTAATTTTTTCAATTGCATTTCCAATATCTGAATTGATCATGAAGTAACTTAGAGATATACATACTATGTCATGTCACCTTCCAATACCGGAGGGCGGTCGGGTAGCCTAGTGGTTAAAGCGTTAGCTCGTCACGCCGAAGACCCGGGTTCGATTCCCGACATGGGTACAATGTGTGAAGCCCATTTCTGGTGTCCCCCGCCGTGATGTTGCTGGAATATTGCTAAAAGCGGCGTAAAACTATACTCACTCACTCCAATACTGGATTATGCAGGAAATGCATGAAGCAGGAGGGTTTTCTCCACATCAAGATTTATGTTTTCGAAATTTTCAATTTTGGATAACTGTTTTATCAATATGTCATCTTTTCATACAATATACAAAGAATATATCAAATATGACACATTGACAGTATATGACAATACTGGTTTCCCTAGGAGATATTACACTAAGAACCAAACCAATTTGATATTCTAGGGTGGGGAAGGGGGCCTTGGGTTGTTGTTTTTTTAAAAAAGAATTTTTATCTCCGGTGTTACCAAAACAATAAATTGTTAGCTCGGCCGGATGTGCTGTAGATGATGTGTTGAACTGTTCGTTTCCTCATTTCAATTAAAACAATTGTGTGTTTTGAAACTTCATCTTGAAACATATTCTGTCTGCATCAAGAATCTCCCTATAAAAACGTGGGTCCCTTATAACATAATTCCCCAAAAGGAGATACATATTTTTAATTTTGGTTAACTGTATGATCAATATGTCATTGTGTCATGGAATGTCCAAGAGATATATCAAGTATCTCACACTACGATACAAAACTGCCTTCCACAGTTGATATACACAGTAGCAAATGTGTCTTTAGGTGGACATATATGTGTTGTACAATGCTGGACAACTTCAACCAGTACCCAGAAGATATACATAATGTCATATGAGATACACACGGCAGAATACGTTTCTGCAGATTCGTCAGTACAAGGTTGATGTATTTCAATTTTCATTGAAATACAGCATACTTGCCAGAGTTTGACCTGTTATGATCTTAGAATACTCCAATTAGTGCACAGTCATTGAAAACAAGTTATATATATATTGTAGCAGGGACCCCGAGATTAGCGGCCATAACATTTCCGAGTCCCGTGATGGGATTCGAACCACGGACCCTCTGATCAGAGGTCGGACGCCTTGTCCACATGATCAAAGAGGTTAATCCCGTCAGCAAGCTGACAAGGTAAGGATGTCATCTGTGGGATGACAGAGGTCGGACGCCTTGTCCACATGACCAAAGAGGTTAATCCCGTCAGCAAGCTGACAAGGTAAGGATGTCATCTGTGGGATGACTCTACGCCCTGCTACAATATTAATGTTCACATCGTTTGTGTTCATTCTAGATGTTTAGTACATGTATATTACGCTGCCGTAACAATATAGTTATAACGATCTCGATATTTCTTGATTCATAATCACATTGTAATGATGTAGTCGAAATCGCACAATGAAGATATTTTATATGATTATGGAAAGGGTTTTGTCTCTTTTTTGTTTTAAACGTGTAACAGTTTAATATTTGTTAATGATATTGGATGACTAATAAAATAGGTACGTGCAGCAAAGGATGACATCTTCTTAAAATGCACAACTCTCTCACACACGAACTTCTTCTGTGTAGGATATATTTGTGCACATGTTTAAGTATAATTACATCTTGTTTAATAAACTCAGATATAATCCAGACTTAAAAGATAGCATATTTACTTCCTAAATATACTTAAAAATTTGCTGTCTTTGGAGGAGGAGATGTAATGCCTGCATATTCAAATGCAGAACGTTTTGCGGTGAGATTCTGTTCACGAGGTACCAGGATTTACATTCTGACGAAATACATTGAAATCCAATTTATATTTAAGAGCATATTAATAATTCCACTCAGCATAACACGAAAAGCGACATAATACAGACAATGAGGATGTTCATCAATAATTTGCTACGCATTTAAGTAATTGCCACCATTGAAGAGAGTGGGCGGATGCGAATTTACACCGCAAGTTGGGGTCTTCTTGGAACCAACAGCATCAGAGAGCCAATACAACTGCGAACCGGTTAATTTGAAACGAGCTTCTTTGGAGTTCCTGGTATAGTCGTGACTTTTTCCATGCGTAACGTGTGTTTGTTGTTTAACAACTTACTCATCAATATTCCAGCTCTATGGCAGCGGCCTGTAAATAATGGAGTATGGGCAAGACAATCAAGTGATTGATATTATGAGCATTGCCCCGTAGGGGTATGACAAGACGCAAGTCATAGAGCCTGATCTCGATCCATTTAGTTACTGAGATCCTGTTCGAACCAAGAGTACCTATGATCTGGATGCGTAGCGATACAGCAATGATGAAGTCGTCCACAAACTGGAGCCACAAAGCATCATGTTTAATCGTTATCTCTTTACCATTTACTGTATCTCAAAACTACCTTTCTGTACATCTGCATGGACCAAACAACCGCTCGCTAAATCGTTTAATTCGATGTAACAGAAAAATCTTTAACAACTCTATGGTGTAATGTTGGTACTCTGCTTATATCGAACGCATCACTCGACATATATTAGCTGCGGTAACCGCATCTCTGGTACTCCCTATTTAACCATTGTGATAGTGACTATCGCTACACAGACCTACGGGTTGTCCCACCGTGTTTTTTCTGTATCGCATCGCACTTTATATGCTTCAGCAAAGTGTTTGAGTCGTGGCAATAGGATTCACATACTAAGACACCTGCTTACCTTCAAATACGACAATTATACTTTTGATCGAGCAACAATGTACTGTAAACTACGGTTATAACGAATTCGAAGGGACCACTAACTTTAGTTTGTTATAACCGTAGTTCGTTATAAACATATATACAGCATAACTATAGCAAATAGTCGGGACAAAAAAATCAGTTCGTTATATCCGTCAGTTCGGTATAAGCGTGTTTCTATAAACGTACTTTACTGTATTTACTTATCGTGTTACCGGGCCGGTAAAGATTTCTCATACAAATCTGTACCCTCTCGGTGATTCCTATCCTATAAGTACACAAAAGGTTGCATGATCGAACATATAAGTACCCATATTTGAAGGCTAGTGTTTCAGGGATCAAATCGTGTTGCAGTTTTCGTGAGATTATGATTCATGGACATTATGTCAGGGTTGTTGGTGCGGTATGTTCCGAATCGGGAATCAAGCAGGAAAACACCACGGCACAGCCCGTAAATCTTTCTTGCGACAAGTCAATATCAGAACTGTTTATAGGGACCAGCACAGAGATACAGTTACACCAGATAGATATATGCGATGGGAGCCAGAACTTCGGGACAACGAGGTTTCGCAGTATGTTAACTAAGAAGAAGAAGAAGAAGGAAGAGAAGAAGAAGAAGGCGTAGACGAAGAAGCAGAAGAAGAAGGAGAAGAAGAAGAAGAAAGAAGAAGGAAGAGAAGAAGAAGAAGGCGTAGAAGAAGAAGCAGAAGGAGAAGAAGAAGAAAGAAGAAGAAGAGGAAGAAGAAGAAGGCGTAGAAGAAGAAGTAGAAGAAGCAGAAGGAGAAGAAGAAAGAAGAAGAAGTCGAAGAAGAAGCAGAAGGATAAGAAGAAGAAGGAGAAGAAGAAAGAAGAAGAAGAAGAGGAAGAAGCAGAAGGAGAAGAAAAAAGAAGAAGAAGTCGAAGAAGAAGCAGAAGGATAAGAAGGAGAAGGAGAAGAAGAAAGAAGAAGAAGAGGAAGAAGAGGAAGAAGAAGAAGAAGGAGCAGAAGGAGCAGAAGAAGAAGAGACTACTGGAGAGTGCCTACTGCCAGGCATATTACACTGCCGGACAAAAGAGAGTATGCGCTTCAAACCACACACTTCACTCTGCTCATTACTGTGTACTGTGCAAAGGTGACCAACATGTTCCTTGAGGCGTCATGACCACGTCACCTTTTGTGAGATACTCACTGATATGAAGAATGAAATATCGTATGTGATACCCGTATGAAATACATCACCATCGAATACCCATTTCTTGTTTGTTTGATTAGCCACCTTCAAACACGGGAGAGTACTTTCTTATGCCCAGCAGTGTATATTCTGACGCAGGTCTGAGACAGAACGTTCAAACTAGTAGCTCGCGGCGCGAACTTCTCTTTAACAGTCTTCTGAGTCACTGCTAAACGCGCAAAAAGTTGTTTTATCTCCAGATAATGTGTGTTGTCAAGCGTGTAACTCTGGATAAATCCAAATGTGAAGGGGAGTCAATGTGTCGTTTTGATAAAGCAAGATGAATGTATTTGGAATGAGTTTAGCCCAGAATACATTTGATGCAGGAGTTACTGAGTGCTTCAAAATTGTAAAGAACAAAATGCAGTTATATCTTTTTAACGGGTGTGTTTGGAATAGATTACATTACAAGTTCCGCTTCAGTGATATTTCATACTGGTTTCATGAAACGGAATGATTAATACATTTTGTAATCCCAAGTTTCGAAGTGATGATTTCCGAGCGAGGTAGATTTCAAGGTTATTATCATTAGGACGTAAGAATGCAGCAAAGAGGGTTTGGGTGATCCTGGCACAGTCAGGCTGGTTAGGCGCATCATCAACTCATTGCCCTCTACACGCAGCCCAGACAGCGAATGGTACAGGAAGCTCTGCCTACTCACCCAAAACTTTTCGGAGTATGTGAAGACCCCCCAACACTGCAGCCTTCTGCATTACCCAGATTGTCAGAAGGGCTGTAATCCGGGTACTCTCCCAATGTCAGTCAACAGACTGGGTGGTACCAAACATAAGGCTCCGAGAACAATGGTGGAGTCTTGTTTTCCTCATGAGTCACAACACAATTCTACCATGAGGAGCCTCCACATTAATCAAACCACGCTCTCCCATCATAATTGTTCATATAAGAGATTGAGGGAAGAGCGGGGGTGGTGGGTTAATCAAACCAAACCCTCCCTTTATAATCGTGAAGACGGTAATAACAGGATCGAGCCACGCCAAGTCGCTTAAGATACTGTGTTTGTGCCAAAGCTGGGCATCCATTGACAATGTGTTGGACAGTCTCATTAAATTTATTGCACGATCTACATTTCATATTGACATTGTAATGCAAAATCGCTCATTGACGGTTTGGGTTGGGAAGTTGACTGGTCCTGAGCAGCAAATAGAAAGCCGTGAAGTATTCGATATATTTTGACTAAACCCTTTACCGCAAATTGTTTCTGGCAAGGTATCATCTCACTATAACGAAACTTGATTTATCATATTTCGTGAAATATCCATTTTCCTATGATTACAAATCAGATGTTACTTTATTTATTTACAGACAGAGTCGTCCGTATATCCGTCCAGGCCACACCAAATGAAGAACAACGTTCGTGCCACCTTGCAGACGACCTTTACCTTCAAATGCAAGGCCGCAATGTATCGATAACTCTACATCTACAACATGAGCCACACCACGACACCAGAGCCCCCATTCCTGTGTTCGGGAGGAAGGCGAATGGGCAATCCGTCTCCAGGTTCTGGCAACAGATAACAACTAAATGGGTGAGACTGTAATATGCAAATAACTGTGTTGTCAGCGGAAGAAATTCCCAAAACGTTTTGAAATGATCCCGTAGTTTGCGCGTAGCCTCAAATGGCCACCTCCTAGTGGTAATCATCAAATGTTTGTTTGTTTATTTCTTTTTTGTTCAACGCCGCACACAGCAATATTACAGCTATATGACCGCGCTGTTTTAAATATTCAAGTCTGGACCAGATAAATCAGTGACTGATATCATGAGCATCGATCTACTCAGCGAGGCTGACCACCCGATCCCGACAGTAGTCTCTTATGACGACCCTATTTGCCTCTACCCTCTACCGGATCTTCACGGGTCCATCATATGTAATAATCTTATTGTTGATATGGAAACAGAAAGAAACCTCTTCATGCTCTCCCCAAAAGTTACCTGAGCTATGTCTTATGTGAAATTCGGCAAAAAAATTGAAAATACGATAGATCCCGTCTGATTTTAGACAAAAAATTAACTCGGTAGCAGTTGGTTTAGGGACGGACCAAACCACACCAGGAAGTGGCTTACAACACTGATATCTTATATCGATTACGCTCACGTCTCGGAACATGAAATACCCACTGTGACGAAACCACAACTGAAACACATATGTGTCCACCACACTGTTCCGCGGGGATAGTCAGATCACTTACAAGATAAACAATTTCTGCGTACTTCGTGCTTCGTGGTGTATCATGCAAGTACATCGGGGCGGTGTTATAACCTTGTGGTTAAAGGGTTCGATCGTCACTACAGACCGGGGTTCGATTCCTTACGTGGTTACTAGTGACACCACACTCGTTCACTCACTCACTCGGGTGCATCAGGTGCAAAAGGTATTTGGTACATTAGGATGGTGCAACATGGACACTAGGTGTAGGAGAAGGTGCATCATGGACACTAGATGTAGGAGAGGGAACAACATGGACACTAGATGTAGGAGAAGGGGCAACTTGGACACTAGGTGTAGGAGAAGGTGCACCATGGACACTAGATGTAGGAGAGGGGATCACATGGACACTAGATGTAGGAGAGGGGGCAACAATGGCACTAGATGTAGGAGAAGGTGCACCATGGACACTAGATGTAGGAGAGGGGACAACATGGACACTAGATGTAGGAGAGGGGACAACATGGACACTAGATGTAGGAGAGGGGACACAATGGACACTAGATGTAGGAGAAGTGCAACATGGACACTAGATGTAGGAGAGATGGCAACATGGACACTAGATGTAGGAGAGGGGACACCATGGACACTAGATGTAGCAGAGGGGACACCATGGACACTAGATGTAGGAGAAGGTGCAACATGGACACTAGATGTAGGAGAGGGGACACCATGGACACTAGATGTAGGAGAAGGTGCAACATGGACACTAGATGTAGGAGAAGGGACACCATGGACACTAGATGTAGGAGAAGGTGCAACATGGACACTAGATGTAGGAGAGATGGCAACATGGACACTAGATGTAGGAGAGGGAACAACATGGACACTAGATGTAGGAGAGGGGACACCATGGACACTAGATGTAGGAGAAGGTGCAACATGGACACTAGATGTAGGAGAAGGGACACCATGGACACTAGCTGTAGGAGAAGGTGCAACATGGACACTAGATGTAGGAGAGGTGGCAACTTGGACACTAGATGTAGGAGAAGGTGCAACATGGGCACTAGATGTAGGAGAAGTCACCTCTCCTACATCTAGTGTCCATGTTGCCCCCTCTCCTACACCTAGTGTCCATGGTGCACCTTCTCCTACACCAAGTGTCCATGTTGCCACCTCTCCTACACCTAGTGTCCATGGTGCACCTTCACTAGATGTAGGAGAAGGGGCAACATGGGCACTAGATGTAGAAGGGGCAACATGGGCACTAGATGTAGGAGAAGGGTACACATGGACACTAGGTGTAGGAGAAGGGTAAACATGGACACTAGGTGTAGGAGAGGGGACAACATGGGCACTAGGTGTAGGAGAGGGGACAACATGGACACTAGATGTAGGAAAGGGGACAACATGGACACTAGGTGTAGGAAAGGGGACAACATGGGCACTAGGTGTAGGAGAAGGGACAACATGGGCACTAGATGTAGGAAAGGGGACAACATGGACACTAGGTGTCGGAGAAGGGGCAACATGGACACTAGGTGTAGGAGAGGGGGCAACCCTGGACACTAGATGTAGGAGAGGTGACAACATGGACACTAGATGTAGGAGAAGGGGCAACATGGACACTAGATGTAGGAGAGGGGGCAACCCTGGACACTAGATATAGGAGGAGGGAAAACATGGACACTAGATGTAGGAGAAAGGGCAACAATGCCACTAGGCACAAGAGAAGGGTAAACATGGACACTAGGTGTAGGAGAAAGGGTAAACATGGACACTAGGTGTAGGGGAAAGGGAAAAAATGGACACTAGGTGTAGGGGAAGGGGCAACATGGACACTAGATGTAGGAGAAGGGGCAACATGGTCACTAGGCACAAGAGAAGGGTAAACATGGACACTAGGTGTAGGGGAAGGGTAAACATGGACACTAGCTGTAGGGGAAGGGGCAACATGGACACTAGGTGTAGGAGAAGGGGCAACATGGACACTTGGTGTAGGAGAAGGGGCAACATGGACACTAGGTGTAGGAGAGGGGGCAACATGGACACTAGGTGTAGGAGAAGGGGCAACATGGACACTTGGTGTAGGAGAAGGGGCAACATGGACACTAGGTGTAGGAGAGGGGGCAACATGGACACTAGCTGTAGGAGAAGGGTAAACATGGACACTAGGTGTAGGAGAAGGGGCAACATGGACACTAGATGTAGGAGAAGGGTAAACATGGACACTAGATGTAGGAGAAGGGGCAACATGGACACTAGATGTAGGAGAAGGGTAAACATGGACACTAGCTGTAGGAGAAGGGTAAACATGGACACTAGGTGTAGGAGAAGGGGCAACATGGACACTAGATGTAGGAGAAGGGACACCATGGACACTAGAAGTAGGAGAAGGGGCAACTTGGACACTAGATGTAGGAGAAGGGTAAACATGGACACTAGGTGTAGGAGAAGGGGCAACATGGACACTAGATGTAGGAGAAGGGGCAACATGGACACTAGATGTAGGAGAAGGGTAAACATGGACACTAGGTGTAGGAGAAGGGTAAACATGGACACTAGGTGTAGGAGAAGGGGCAACATGGACACTAGGTGTAGGAGAGGGGACAACATGGGCACTAGGTGTAGGAGAGGGGACAACATGGACACTAGATGTAGGAAAGGGGACAACATGGACACTAGGTGTAGGAAAGGGGACAACATGGGCACTAGGTGTAGGAGAAGGGACAACATGGGCACTAGATGTAGGAAAGGGGACAACATGGACACTAGGTGTCGGAGAAGGGGCAACATGGACACTAGGTGTAGGAGAGGGGGCAACCCTGGACACTAGATGTAGGAGAGGTGACAACATGGACACTAGATGTAGGAGAAGGGGCAACATGGACACTAGATGTAGGAGAGGGGGCAACCCTGGACACTAGATATAGGAGGAGGGAAAACATGGACACTAGATGTAGGAGAAAGGGCAACAATGCCACTAGGCACAAGAGAAGGGTAAACATGGACACTAGGTGTAGGAGAAGGGACAACATGGACACTAGATGTAGGAGAAGGGTAAACATGGACACTAGGTGTAGGAGAAGGGTAAACATGGACACTGGGTGTAGGAGAAGGGTAAACATGGACACTAGGTGTAGGAGAAGGGGCAACATGGACACTAGATGTAGGAGAAGGGTAAACATGGACACTAGATGTAGGGGAAGGGACACCATGGACACTAGCTGTAGGGGAAGGGGCAACATGGACACTAGGTGTAGGAGAAGGGGCAACATGGACACTTGGTGTAGGAGAAGGGGCAACATGGACACTAGGTGTAGGAGAGGGGGCAACATGGACACTAGGTGTAGGAGAAGGGGCAACATGGACACTTGGTGTAGGAGAAGGGGCAACATGGACACTAGGTGTAGGAGAGGGGGCAACATGGACACTAGCTGTAGGAGAAGGGTAAACATGGACACTAGGTGTAGGAGAAGGGGCAACATGGACACTAGATGTAGGAGAAGGGTAAACATGGACACTAGATGTAGGAGAAGGGGCAACATGGACACTAGATGTAGGAGAAGGGTAAACATGGACACTAGCTGTAGGAGAAGGGTAAACATGGACACTAGGTGTAGGAGAAGGGGCAACATGGACACTAGATGTAGGAGAAGGGACACCATGGACACTAGAAGTAGGAGAAGGGGCAACTTGGACACTAGATGTAGGAGAAGGGTAAACATGGACACTAGGTGTAGGAGAAGGGGCAACATGGACACTAGATGTAGGAGAAGGGGCAACATGGACACTAGATGTAGGAGAAGGGTAAACATGGACACTAGGTGTAGGAGAAGGGTAAACATGGACACTAGGTGTAGGAGAAGGGGCAACATGGACACTAGATGTAGGAGAAGGGGCAACATGGACACTAGATGTAGGAGAAGGGTAAACATGGACACTAGGTGTAGGAGAAGGGTAAACATGGACACTGGGTGTAGGAGAAGGGTAAACATGGACACTAGGTGTAGGAGAAGGGGCAACATGGACACTAGATGTAGGAGAAGGGTAAACATGGACACTAGATGTAGGGGAAGGGACACCATGGACACTAGATGTAGGGGAAGGGACACCATGGACACTTGGTGTAGGAGAAGGGTAAACATGGACACTAGATGTAGGGGAAGGGGTAACATAGAGAGTAGGTGCAGGAAAAGGGGCTGCATTAAAAGGTCAAATTGATTAGGCAAAAGTTGTTTAAATTACAACTCTCTTTCCATAAACATATATATGCAGACAGCGGACAGTATTAAACATTGAAATATGTAACTAGCATACAAACTTCAGTACTTCCATGAAAATAGTAACATTAACAATATTATATAAACTATTTGTGTGGTGAATGATATATACTAGTAATCATTTGAGATATTATGGTAAAACAACAAATGTGAAATAAGAGAATAACAATTGTATTAAATAAAAATATTAATAAAATCGCTTTTTTGACTTAATCGCTTTTTAATGTGAAGATGTTTTGTGTTAGTGAGCCTGAATTATCACCATAAGGAATTGTCTGGATCGAGACTTGGCGTCCTTCTGATAAAATCATATTCGTGCTATTGCTGCTGACAAAACACACGACCAACGAATGTTCACAAAAAAAGAATGAGGACATCTAGATAACTATATTTATATCCTTCGATGTGATGGGCTATTATTTTGTTTTCATTTTTACAGATACCTTTATCCCAACTTGTACCGTACGTGTTACTACTGAACCCACATCTGTATATTAGTCCTAATTTCATAAATTTGCTTATAATCTATATGATTTCCAAGACCTAGGTTATTTAAGTACTACTGAAAACTGAATTTTGCTTCGTTTTTATAACTGACATGTTAGCCTTTGAATATTTATTACGAGCAAGTATTTTAATCTGGTCTTTGGTATTTTATTCTGTGATGTCGTCTTAACCAATATTCGTGTACCAGTAGGTTCCCCACGTCGTCAGTCAAACCTTAGTTTAATGCCTGACAAGGAAACACCTTTACCACAAGGCTTCCACGGGTTATTTATTGAGCAGGGTTTAACGCCGCCTGGCAATCATGTGGTAGTCTCTTCGCACAGAATCGTTATCCAACAATGAGTAAGCTCCGATTGATTTTGCTAATTAAGAATTACATATTAATGTCTACAATGTCGCAGTCAATGTGAACTTCTGTTTCGCTCACAATGTTCTACATAGATCACCTGACGAACGCAAACAGCTGTACAGAGTTGCGTCCCTTAGTCGTGCCAGGGTCCGTTGATTTTGGGTTCGTATCCCGATTTCGTACCAACTATGCTCCTTGGTTTATTGCCCCCATACGCTCTTGGGTTTCACCAAAGGAATATAAAAGGCGTGCGTCGTTCACTCACTCACTCAACCACCCGCACACTCACTCACGCACTCACCTACGCATTCACCCACTCATTCAATCATAGAAACACGTAAGACTTAGTTGAGTATCCCCCCCCCCCCCCCCCCCCCCCCACCCCCCACCCCCCCAGGACAGGAAACAAGACAATGGGAATGAAGTGTACATTATCCGTAATGTATCTAAATATAACTCATTGAATCATCCAGCTAACCCAGAAGGAAATATAAACTTGGGATTTCTCAAGAGGGTATTGCGTTAGCGTCCCCGCGCATGCGGGTTACGTAAATGTTGACCCGTGAAGGTCCGGAGAAGGACAGGTCTTCAGCAACCCATTCTTGCCGTAAAAGGCGACTGTGCTTGTCGTAAGAGGCGACTAACGGGATCGGGTGGTCAGGCTCGCTGACTTGGTTGATGCATGTCATTGTATCCCAATTGCGTGGATCGATGCTCATGATATCAGTCATTGGATTGTCTGGTCCAGACTCGATTATTTACAGACCGCCGTCATATAGCTGGAATATTGCTGAGTGCGGCGTTAAACAACAAACTACTTCTACTGTCATAACTTCTACTACTACGACTACTACTACTACTACCACCACCACCACCACCACCACCACCACTACTACTACTACTACTACTACTACTACTGCTACTACTACCACTGCTGCTGTGCGGCGTTATATAATAAACCAACCAACCAACCAACATGCATGTTGGTTGTGTATTTTTTGCTGGTTGTGCAAAAGAACTTATCATTCCCACAAACATAGAGGTGGCCCAGTTTATCTGCTTTTTCTTCTTTTCCCGTTGTGTTTGCGATGTACAATCTCGATAATCCGGACTATGCGGTTTCCGTCGAAATCGTCAAGATATATAAAATGTCGGATTACTGAATACTTAAACAGAGTAATGCCCTTCATTTTCAAGGAGTATTGTCCTTCATTTTCACAAAGTAAAGTCCTTTGTTTACAAAGTAATGCCCTTTTGGAATTTACAGACTAATATTTCATTTATTTACAGAGTAATGTCCTTAATATGTACAGACCAATGACCTATGTATTTACAGGGTTATGAGCCCGTATTTTCGATATTTCATTGCATCAAAAGTTCACGAACAGCATGCGATTTAAAATAAGACTGTTATATCATTTGACAACGATCATCGATCACGCTCCGGAATATGGGCTCTGCTTTTTCCAATATGATTCATGTAGTTAATCCAGAACATCTATCAATAGGATGACGTCGTCTGTAACTACTGACATGACTGTAGAATTCTTTCAATAAATAGTTATGCTTCAGACTGTTGGACATTTTCTACCACGAAATTACAACATGGTGTTTGTTAGTCTCTCTCTCTCTCTCTCTCTCTCTCTCTCTCTCTCTCTCTCTCTCTCTCTCGCTCTCTCTCTCTCTCGCTCTCTCTCTCTCTCTCGCTCTCTCTCTCTCTCTCTCTCTCTCTCTCTCTCTCTCTCTCTCTCTCTCTCACACACACACACACACACGTACTCACACAAACTGGCATGACCTTTGATGGGAAAATGGTGAATTTCTAATCACATGGAAGTATCGTCCCTGTGAGAACCAGAAATGAATTGTTCAAATAGGTGTTTTTTTTGCTTTCGATTTCTTTTGCAATGTCCTTAAACCATTGCATATGATACCTTTGTTCCGCGTGACATGGGTGCTGTAACGGAAACAATCTTCAGTGGTATGTTGTGACTCACAATGACGCTGACCTTTGTAATTCCTGAAAACACTGCATGGACTGCTTTAAATACGAAACAAAACGAAAGGTTTCTGGAAAACAAAACACGTGAGGAATATTTTGTACTTGTAAAACAGCTGCAAAACTGTACCCGTGTGAAATCGTAGAACTGACTTAAATAAACGCATGTGTTTTTGTACTTATTTTCGCGTGTGTTTTCAGAGATCCTACGAAGATGTCCATCGAACCAGCTCCCTTGAAGTCGCATGCTCCATGACAGAATCTAGACCATTGTATCGAATAGTGCGTATAATAATAATAAAAAGTTCTGGGTGGGTTTGACCAGGTAGCGCTTCCTGGGAGAAGTCCCATTCGCTGTCTGGACTGTACGTTGAAGGGGCACGGGCCCTCAGCTGATGATGAGCCTTATAATAATAATCATAATAATCATAATAATCATAATGATGATGATGATAATAATAAAACAGCGTTATCACTATCCTCCGCCAGATATATATTAACCTTTATGTCCTATTTTCAGTCTGGGTTTGTGATCGTTGGCGGCCAACTATACCGCCTGAAGCCATTGGAAGGGGGTGCATCCTCCCGCCATGTTCATCATCTGGTTCCTTTGTCGGAAGTCTCCAATACTGAAAAAATAGGTATTTTTCGTTAAAATCTATTTGTATTTTTGTAAGCATGTCAGTAAATAATAAATATTTAATTCTTTATTTATATACTCATAAACGAAACCTTATCATCCTATGCAATACGATTAAACAATATGTACTTTAAACCTCAATACGCCAAGTCTACAAATGCATATGCAGTAATTGGCTCTTTATTAATATACGTTTATGTCCTAAGATCGAGTTGTTAACGTCATATTACTTTCTGTATTCATTGTTTGTTATCTATGTTTATTCCAGAATATCATCAGCAACACAACCCTCGATTTCGGCAGAGACGAGAAGTAGTCCCAGAGTACAACATTGACGTTTTAGTAATAGTAGATTATCAGCTTTTTCAGCAGTGAGTATCCTCTATCAGTAATGAGAATGTGCTTTGTCAGTCGAGCCAGGATATGACCCATTCCAAGGAGCCCTAAACACACTTCAATATATCCGAAGTTCGTATTGTCTGATATATATATAAATAATAACTAAGGTCGGTGACGTTGGAATAGTGTGTGGTTGCTTGGGCGTTGGTTTGATGGCGCACGAGATCGCGCGTTTGTATGTGTGTGTGTGTATGGATGAGTGCGTGAGTGGGTGAGTGTGTGGGTGAGTTGCTGCGTGAGTTTGTCGTTGTGTGAGTGTGTGGTTGTGGATGTGTGGGTTAGTTGTTGTGTGCGTGTGTGGTTGTGGGTGAGTGGGTGTGTGTTTGTCGTTGTGTGAGTGTGTGGGTTAGTTTTTGCATGTTTTGAGTGTGTCGGGGAGTGGGTATGTGGGTAAGTTGGTGTGTGGTTGTGTGGGTGACTGCGTGTATGAGTGCGTGGTTGTGGGTGAGTGGGTGTGTGAGTTTGTGAGTGTGTCGGTGAATCAGTGTGTGAGTTAGTTGGTGTGTGGTTGTGGGTGAGTGGGTGTGTGATTTTGTGGTTGTGGGTGAGTGGGTGTGTGAGTTTGTGAGTGTGTCGGTGAATCAGTGTGTGAGTTAGTTGGTGTGTGGTTGTGGGTGAGTGGGCGTGTGAGTTTGTGAGTGTGTCGGTGAATCAGTGTGTGAGTTAGTTGGTGTGTGGTTGTGGGTGAGTGGGTTTGTGAGTTTGTGAGTTTGTGAGTGTGTCGGTGAATCAGTGTGTGAGTTAGTTGGTGTGTGGTTGTGGGTGAGTGGGTGTGTGAGTTTGTGAGTTTGTGAGTGTGTCGGTGAATCAGTGTGTGAGTTAGTTGGTGTGTGGTTGTGGGTGAGTCGGTGTGTGAGTTTGTGAGTGTGTCGGTGAATCAGTGTGTGAGTTAGTTGTTGTGTGGTTGTGGGTGAGTGGGTGTGTGAGTTTGTGAGTGTGTCGGTGAATCAGTGTGTGAGTTAGTTGGTGTTTGGTTGTGGGTTAGTGGGTGTGTGAGTTTGTGAGTGTGTCGGTGAATCAGTTTGTGAGTTAGTTGTTGTGTGGTTGTGGGTGAGTGGGTGTGTGAGTTTGTGAGTGTGTCGGTGAATCAGTGTGTGAGTTAGTTGGTGTGTGGTTGTGGGTGAGTTGGTGTGTGAGTTTGTGAGTGTGTCGGTGAATCAGTGTTTGAGTTAGTTGGTGTGTGTTTGTGGGTGAGTGGGTGTGTGAGTTTGTGAGTGTGTCGGTGAATCAGTGTGTGAGTTAGTTGGTGTGTGGTTGTGGGTGAGTTGGTGTGTGAGTTTGTGAGTGTGTCGGTGAATCAGTGTGTGAGTTAGTTGGTGTGTGGTTGTGGGTTAGTGGGTGAGTGAGTTTGTGAGTTTGTGAGTGTGTCGGTGAATCAGTGTGTGAGTTAGTTGGTGTGTGGTTGTGGGTGAGTCGGGGTGTGAGTTTGTGAGTGTGTCGTTGAATCAGTGTGTGAGTTAGTTGGTGTGTGGTTGTGGGTGAGCGGGTGGGTGAGTTTGTGAGTGTGTCGGTGAATCAGTGTGTGAGTTAGTTGTTGTGTGGTTGTGGGTGAGTGGGTGTGTGAGTTTGTGAGTGTGTCGGTGAATCAGTGTGTGAGTTAGTTGGTGTGTGGTTGTGGGTGAGTGGGTTTGTGAGTTTGTGAGTTTGTGAGTGTGTCGGTGAATCAGTGTGTGAATTAGTTGGTGTGTGGTTGTGGGTTAGTGGGTGTGTGAGTTTGTGAGTGTGTCGGTGAATCAGTGTGTGAGTTAGTTGGTGTGTGGTTGTGGGTTAGTGGGTGTGTGAGTTTGTGAGTGTGTCGGTGAATCAGTGTGTGAGTTAGTTGGTGTGTGGTTGTGGGTGAGTGGGTGTGTGAGTTTGTGAGTGTGTCGGTGAATCAGTGTGTGAGTTAGTTGTTGTGTGGTTGTGGGTGAGTGGGTGTGTGAGTTTGTGAGTGTGTCTGTGAATCAGTGTGTGAGTTAGTTGGTGTGTGGTTGTGGGTTAGTGGGTGGGTGAGTTTGTGAGTGTGTCGGTGAATCAGTGTGTGAGTTAGTTGGTGTGTGGTTGTGGCTGAGTGGGTGTGTGAGTTTGTGAGTGTGTCGGTGAATCAGTGTGTGAGTTAGTTGGTGTGTGGTTGTGGGTGAGTAGATGTGTGGGGGAGTGAGTTTGTGGTTATGGGTGAGTTGGTGTGTGAGTTTGTTGTTGTGGGTTTGTGGTTGTGGGTGAGTAAGTGTATGAGTTTGTGGTTATGGGTGAGTTGGTGTGTGAGTTTGTTGTTGTGGGTGATTTGATGTGTGGTTGTGGGTTATTGAGTGCATGAGTGTGTTGTTATGGGTGAGTAGATGTGAGGGGGAGTGAGTGTGTGTTATCTTAAGCCGCACTCAACAATGTTCCAGCTATAAGCCGCCGGACTGTTACGTCTGGATCAGACAATCCTGTGACCAATATTATGAGCAACAGTCCACACCAAGCCTGACTAGCCGATCCATTAGGTCTCCCATCGAGACCTGCATAAACTGCCAGGGACATTTTCTATCCCGGAACTCCCACGGGGCGACACAACAGAACGTAATAGAACCACTCTGTTTTCGTCATACGCTTTGGTGTTAGTCTAAATTGTGTCTAAATATGTTTCATTTTCTTCAACAGTTGGCGCAATTTTGTAACTGGGTCAGCCACAACAATAGATAAGACTAAATCAGATATCAAGACTTATATAGCGCTGGTTTTTAAAGGGGTGAGTGCCTGCTTCTTTCGTCATAATCCTCTTGTTTTTACATTTATTCATAAGTGAACAGTTTCATTTCATACTGGTTTGGAACTTCTCGGGTGGTTAAGTTTAGGACGTTGCAATTCGCCATGCGGAGTTGTGTCCCTTATTTGTCCAAGGATCTGTTTATCGAAGATTATAGGAGTGAGTGATTGAGTATGGTTTTACCCCGCTTTTAGCAATATTCCATCAATATCACGACAGAGGACACCAGAAATGGGCTTCACACTTTGAACCTGGGCCTGAAGCGTGACGAGCGAACGCTTTAACTGCTAGGCTACCCTATTGCCCCGAAGATTGTATGAAATCTCTCGGTATAAGTGTACTACTCGGGCTTTTCCTCCACATCAAGCTGACACGTCGTGAAATTGCTAAAATAATCTTGAAATTACTAAAATAATCTTGAAATTACTAAAATAATCTTGAAATTACTAAAATAATCTTGAAATCTCCGGGGTTAGATTAAGTTATTTTTCGTCGCAATTCACAACGCACATTTGCGCCCCTTGGGGTACCAGAACCTAGGTTTGTGGATTCGAAACCCGGTTTATCCTAATTATGTTTCACCACAGTTTTCAAAGCTGTGTGGAATAAGAAACTATACTATGCAGTTCGAGATACTGAAAACAAAGAACGGGGGATACTAAACGTTTTCCTGGTGTATATATTCTCTATGTTGTTTTATTCAGGTGAATGTTCGCTTCGCCAGCATCTCAGACTACAAAATCAATGTCAGAATCGTAGATATAATCATTGCGGAGGTAAGTCGATAGTGTGTTTGTTTTGCATTGTTTGTTTGTTTGTTTGTTTGTTTTTAGCTAAAATAGACCCCAAAACATTATGGAAAAGAACTTCTTCTTTAAGAGAATTTATGGATGTCAACTTCTTTATTATGAGGAACACAACGTTTTCGGAGTATATGCTTTCTCCTTCATCAGGTGAATGATGTGTTTGGGGAGAAGGAGTAAGCATATACCCCGAAAACGTTGTGTTCCTCATATACGGAAGTTGACATCTATACATTTTCTTCCTTATGTGTATTACTACTAAATGCCTTTCAAAGAACTTCTTTTTGTTTGCCATTTTAATACAGACATGATCATTTCATGCCGCCGTGTTCCATTCGTCCGGAATATCGATTTCCGGATTTGCACATTATATGTTTAGAGTAATGTCCCTTTAAAATCTGTCAAAATCTGATTCTGACCGATCCAGATTTATGTCAATACCGCAACACATAAACGGTTCTGATTTTACTACGGTGTTATTTCAAGTAATACTGGTGTCTTTCAAACGTATACTTCTTTCCAATAGTTTTATCTACTGTTATAATCACACTCAGCAGGACCTCTGCCTAAACCGGACTAAAATTTCGGTTGCACGGAAGTCCGGTTAAGACAGAGTTCATTTTAAACATTTTCAACTTTGATCGTCAAAAAAACGTTAAGTCCTAATAAACGGGGTTTCAGTGAACACGGTATAATTTTAAATATGTAATTTTTTTCTGTTTCTGTTTTAGACTGCCACGTCACCGACTGCAATACTCACAAGTCAGTTTGCAATTAGTAATAACGTAAATGCTAACAGTACATTGTTTGCTTTGCGAAACTATGTGGCATCCAATCAGCTTCCACAGAATGATCATGTGATGTTATTTACCGGGTAAGCATTTTAATTGTGTGTTTTCCCTTTGGATTTAGATATGCAGGTATAAACAATGTTCCGTTTTATCATGTGTTCTGACGGTGCATTATTTACTGATGGTGACTGTTCGTATTTTACAGTTAGACACGTAACCGAGTCACATTCTCTCAGCACAGATGACCCGTGAAGATTCCGGGGTAGAATAGGTCTTCAGCAACCCATGCTTGCCGTAAAAGGTGACTATGCTTGTCGTAAAAGGCGACTAACGGGATCGGATGGTCAGGCTCGCTGACTTGGTTGATGCATGTCATCGAACCCAATTGCATTGATCGATGCTCATGATATTAATCACTGGATTGTCTGGTTCAGACTCGATTATTTACAGACTGCCGTCATATAGCTGGAATATTGCTGAGTGCGGCGTTAAACAGCAAACCAACCAACCAACCAACCTAGCACAGATAAGAGGCACACGCGGCTACGCCAACAAGAGCGCCGCATCTCGCTGTGCAGAGTTGCGTCCTTTAGCTGTGCCAGGATCCTGTGATTGTGGGGTTCAATTCCAGATCTATTATGATGTTCGGCATGTCTATACCCATATTCATAGATTTCACCAAAGGTAAACGTCTAAGACCGGCATCACTTTAAATTTCCTCCCAAGCTGACACGTGATATTTCTGAAATACTGTTCAAGACGGCGTTAAATAAAAGCAACAAACAAATATTAATAATCATCAGAAATCTCTGCTTGAAGCAAAGAACCGTTGTACGATTCCGACTCCATGTGAAGCATGTGTTTATCAAACACAATGGGTGACTGTCAGAACGCCACAGACACCAGGTGTCTTTTGGTCTTGCTGTGATACTATCAGTTATATAATGCGTATCTATATCTTCGTGGATCACATATTTCATTTGTTTACTGGATTCGTTGTGTTTGTGTTCGTGCATATGCATATCCGTTAAAAATGATAACTTACTTTTAGACTAACATTTAGTCTATGAAAATCTTAAATTACACAATACTCTTCTTGACTCTAAAAATATTTTTTTTAAATTTCCCGATGCTGATTTTATACAGCTAGCTGGAGCTGGCTAGACTTGCTTTTGTATAGACTTGCTTCTAGAGTGTGTTTTGTTTCATAAAATAGATATATGCAACAGTCATGGTGCAGGACTAATTACTTTCCTTCCAGGTATGACATTTTCGGCTCTGACAATGGCGTTTTATTCAAGTACACCAAAGGTATTTTAGTATCATTCTTCTTATACTAACATTTTTAGAAGTAGTGGTAGCGTTAGTAGTTTTGTTTCCTTGTTTGTTGTTTAACGCCGCACTCAGCAATATTTGAGCTATATGATGGCGGTCTGTAATTAATCGAGTCTGGACCAGATAATGATTGACAACGTGAGCGTTAGTAGTAGTAGAGGTCCAACTTTGTTTACACACTGAACCAAAAACTGGGGTAATTATATTTTAGCGCCATGAACATGCACTTGATCAATGGAAACAGGATTGACTCTGACCAGAGTTACATATATATATATATATATGTGCAAATACAAGGAAACCAACTTAAAAATCACTCAACTACAGAAAATGACGACATAATTATTACATTGAAAAAAACATGCATGGGTGCGATAACATATCTTTTTAAAACAAATAGTGCAGTATTGCTACATATTTAGAAACCTAAAAAATACAACATTTATATCTATCCGACCTTTTCGCACCGCTTATTATAAGCCTACTTATATTTCAAATGTTTGAATATGACCCACTACTTCCTTGTCTCGTGGGGATGTAGGTGCTACATGTAAATCCTACACTAAATATAACTATAAAAAATATATTAATTATTATTTTTTGTAACGGATATAATCCTGCTACAATCTGTATAACCTGACTTGGCTACAAAGGTATGGGACGATAACCTTGGTGTCTCGTGCTGCGTGAGATCAAACGACACACCCATGTTATCAAGCAAGGCAGCTGTTAATGTATGTTCCCCGTTTAACCCTACTCTAGATGGCTAGAAGAAGATCAGTGACTCACCTGGCTACTCCTATAATGTACCGATATCTCACATGTACAGTGACCGCCTCCGTGGTCTAGTGGTAGAGCGTCCGCCCGGAGAGCGGAAGGTCCAGGGTTCGATCCCGGGCCGCGTCATACAAAAAGACGTTAAAAGATTGTACTTGTTACCCTGTCTGGCGCTCGGCATTAAGGGGCTAAAACAAGGACTGGTCGGCTCGGAGTCAGTATACTGTGTCTGAGTGGGGTATTCATGTTAAACTGCGGCATGGTATCTCAGTGAGCTAGCACTATAAATCGGCATCAGTCCGGACTAGTACAAGCAGCCACACACACACATCCACGTGCATGCACGTCGCTATATAAGTGCAATAATCTTGGACGCGACGTTAAACCCAATTTCACCTCACCTCACCTCACCTCACATGTACATGTATGTTGTTACTGTTTAACACAGTGAAAGTTCTTGCGTTGTTTAAATTTATATCTGTCGCTATTACCGTGTACTTGTTACAGGTGTCGGTTCATACGAAGTTAGTTATTTACATTATTACTATGCAGTAAATTACCACTCCTAACTATGTAGAAAGGTAATATATAGCTCGTCTTTAAAAGGCATTTTGAAGTGGTACACATAAGGAAGAGAATTTATGGATGTCAACTTCTTTGTTATGAGGAACACAACGTTTCGGAGTATATACTTACTCCTTTATCAGGTGAATGACGGAGTAAGTATATTTCTCCGAAATGTTGTGTTCCTCATAATAAAGAAGTTGGCATTCATAAAATTTACTTCCTTCGGGTAATAGCTGTCCATTCTATACACCTGGTTATTCGATTCATCCGTAGTTCGTCTTTCACCCTGTTCATACTGATGATGACTATGATGATTTTGGTTACTGGTTGATTAGGCATTGTTTAATTATCACCGAGTATTCGTTATAGTCGACTGTTCGTTACAACTGAAGTTGTGTTTCAGGTCAGGCGTTTGTTGGGACGTTGTGTGAAGTTGGTCGTAGCGTCTCCGTCGTCGAGGACCATGCAGGATTCCAGAGTGTCCACACGGCTACCCATGAGTTGGCTCATAGGTGGGTTAACACCTCAACCGTCCACACCACCGATCCTCCTACCGGCACATACCCATCCGACCATCCACACACCTATCTAACCACCCACACCCATCCGACACTCCACACACCTATCTAACCATCCCACACACCTATCCGACCACCAAAACACCCATCTAACCATCCACACACCTATCTAACCATCCACACACCCATCCGACCACCAAAACACCCATCTAACCATCCACACACCCATCCGACCACCAAAACACCCATCTAACCATCCACACACCCATCCGACCACCAAAACACCCATCCGACCATCCACACACGCATCCGACCACCAAAACACCCATCCGACCATCCACACACCCATCCGACCATCCACACACCTATCTAACCATCCACACACCCATCCGACCACCAGAACACCCATCCGACCATCCACACACCCATCCGACCATCCACACACCTATCTAACTATCCCACACATCCATCCCACACACCCATCCCACACACCCATCCAACCATCCCACACATCCATCCCACACGACCATCCCACACACCCATCCAACCATCTCACACATCCATCCTCATCCCACACATCCATCTAACCGTCCCACACATCCATCCCACACACCCATCCAACCATCCCACACGCCCATCCAACCATCAACACACGTATCTAACCATCCCACACACCCATCCAACCATCCCACACGCCCATCCAACCATCAACACACGTATCTAACCATCCCACACACCCATCCAACCATCCACACATCCATCTAACCATCCCACAAACCCATCCAACCATCCCACACTACCATCCAACCATCCACACACATATCCACTTGGCGGCACATTCCCATCATACGATCTCACACATCCATCCCACCATCCACATACCCATCCAACCATCCCACACGCCCATCCAACCATCCACACACTTATAACCATCCCACACACCCATCCCACACATCCATCCAACCATCCACACATCCATCTAACCATCCCACAAACCCATTCAACCATCCCACACACCCATCTAACCAACCCACACACCCATCTAACCATCCACACACATATCCAATTGGCGGCACATTCCCATCATACCATCCCACACATCCATCCAACTATCCCACACACCCATCCACCTGCCACCGATCTAACCATCCAACACAGCCATACTTATCCCACACACCCATCCAACCATCCACACACCCATCCAACCATCCACACACCCATCCAACCACCCACACACCCATCCAACCATCCCACACACCCATCCAAACATCCCACACACCTGCCACCCATCCCACACACCCATCCACACACCCATCCCACACACCCATCCAACCATCAACACACCCATCCTACCATCCACACACCCATCCAACCATCCCACACACACATCCACACACCCATCCAGGCACCAATCTGACCATCCACACACCAATCTACCTACCGGCACACACCTGTTCAACCGTTCAGTGTCTACGCAACACTTCTACCGCAGACGTAATATTTACTAACATATAATGCAAAATATATATATTATGTATCGTCACGTCTATTTTAGATACTGATGCACGTGTAGCCACAAGGCACCGTAATGCGCCATGGACAGATTCGAATCCCAAACTCTAATTATCTTTCTTGGTTTGTCCGCCGTGAACGTGGGTCTCATTAAGAAGCTGCATCACTTCCGGCTTTCCTATTACACTGACAAGAGTTGCATCCCTTGGGCACGCCAGCAACCTATATTCGGGTTCGAATCACGGTTATGGTTCTAGGTCTGTCAGCACTATACCCATTCTCGTGGGTTTCACCAAAGTGGTAAACGTCTGAGACCTGCATCACTTCGGGTTTTCCTCCCACAATAAGCTGACACGTGATATAACTAGAATCACGTTAAAAGCCCTTTTAAACCAAACTGACTCGCCGCTTTCATTTACAAATTGGGTCTGACATTATTTGTGTGTTTCCAGCATGAATGCCACCCATGACGGGGACGACGACCCCAGCTGTAGTTCACGTGACCGCTACCTGATGGCCGGGCGGCCGGAGGCGCCAACAGACCTGACCAGGGCCAACCCATGGCGCTTCTCAAACTGTTCAATAGAAACGATGGCAAACTTTTTTGAAAACAAATTGAAAAAGTAAGTAATGCCATGTCGATCATGGAATGTGCAGAATTGTTTCCCTTGGGCGTGTCCGGATTCTGTGATCTTGGATTTCGATACCAGATCCGCGAAGGTTATGCACCCTATCGATGCTTTGGAGTTTCGGCAAAAGGATATGAGACCAGCATCAGTTCCCGAAAGCTGTGATAATATTGTTTAAATTTCACTCATTCACTCTCTCGCTCACATTCGAAGTGATATATCTCAAATACTGTTAGGGGGCACGGGTGGCCCAGTCGTCTAAGGCGCTGTGCAGAGTTGCGTCCCTTGGGCACGCCAGAAACCTATGATTGTGGGTTCGAATCCCGCTTCGCCCCGATTATGTTTCTAGGTTTGTCAGCACCATACCCGTGCTCGTGGGTTTCACTGAAGTGGTAAACGTCTGAGGCCGGCATCATTTCGGGCTTTCCTCCCACATTAAGGTGACACGCCGTGATATAACTGGAATACTGTTAAAAGCGGCGTTAAACCCAATTCACTCACTCACTCACTGCAATACGTGTGTACTGACTGACAGATGACGGAGCATATTTGACTCCGTTTCAAGGTTCGGTAATGACTTATTAGGCCTTATCCAAATAAGCTGACACGCCGTGACATAACTGGAATACTGTTAAAAGCGGCGTAAAACCTAACTCACTCACTCACTCAAATACTGTTCGAAGCGAACATAATACCAGCTCACTCAATAATCTTCTAACATTGCAAAAGGGGGCGGTCGGGTAGCCTAGTGGTTAAAGCGTTCGCTCGTCACGCCGAAGACCCGGGTTCGATTCCCGACATGGGTACAATGTGCGAAGCCCATTTCTGGTATCCCCCGCCGTGATATTGCTGGAATATTGCTAAAAGCGGCGTAAAACCATATTCACTCACTCACTCACTCTAACATTGCAGAGGGGGCGAGTCGTGCTTGTTACAAAGCACGGGAACAAACGTTCCGACTGTCAGCAGTTCAGCACCAGGTCAACTGTACAGCCCCAATCAACAGTGTCAACATATCGAAGGCCCACAGTCATACTACTGCAGGGTAAGGCCATATACAACCAACTCGGATACAGTGAAAACTCCTTTGTCCGGCCGCCCTGCAATCCGGACGATTACTACCCTGTACGTGTACACTTATCGCAATACTTATCTCGTGAACTCGGAGAATTGTTAATCCGGCCGAATTGTCTGTGAACAGTACGGATTAACGGGGTTTCATAGTTTAGCCAATTCTCGTTATAACGAACAACCTGATATCAAGGAATGGTCATGACCATTGGTAATAAGTGTTATCGTCTAGTTATTGAGTAAGGATAAGAATTTATGGATGAACAACTTCTTTATTACAATTAAGAGCGAGGTTTCGGTGTCGGTTCTAACACCGTTATCAAGCAAGTCATCACTTGATAACGGTGTTAGAACCGGTGCATCTATATAATTACGCAATTTTTTACAGAAATATATAATTGATCACTGGATATCCTGCATGCCCTGAAATCATGTGTTGTGTTACAACAAAATATGTTTCGCAATACTGTCTTGAAGACGTTACAGAACAATAGTCTTTCTCCTTGAAGCGTCCTTAGGTACATGTATGCTTCCTTTCTACTTAGTCAGATATTAGGGGGATACAGGTTGGCCCGTCATGTAACCCGAGGTAGGTTCAGAGTTGCCTCCCTTAGGCGTGTCAGGTTCCTATGATTGTGTGTTTGAAACCCGTTGGTTTCATGTCTGTTAGAAGACCTTCATCAGTTCGGGCCCCTTACCCACATCAGGCTGACATGTCGTATTATGACTCAAATAATGTTTAAAGCGGTGTTAAACTCTCTTAGGTTTTGCGCAAGTGTCTAGATACCAGGTATATACTATTTTCATGTCAACAAAAAGTGGTCACTTTTATTCTCAGCATTTGATTCTTCGCTCTTTGATGATACATGCTATGTTTGAGTCTGATTCTGTGTTGCACCCTTTTTAGTTTGAAATGTGACAATGTTTGTTTCCTAACCTTTAAATTTTAAAGGATGCATTGTGTCATAAAATGGAATCCGAAATTTGTTTTTGACGGAATACTGTATTACTCTACAACTCTGGGAACAATAAAAAATAAATAAATAGATATACTATTTACATCTTTACAGGGGCCTTCATTCAGCAACGTCAGCGACATCTGTACCTCCATGTACTGTTACCTGAATAACGTGGATGCCAACCAAATTCAATGCAATGAACACCATGCAGCCGATGGGACGTCCTGCGGAAACAGGAAGGTGACACTCAAGATCAATCAAATAATTATCAGTAATACATTCACCTGAAAACAGGTTAAGCACCTTCCTTGTTTCATATAGCTGGGACCGCCTCCGCGGTCTAGTGGTAGAGCGTCCGCCCGGAGAGCGGAAGGTCCGGGGTTCGATCCCCGGCCGCGTCATACCAAAAGACGTTAAAAGATGGTACTTGTTGTTACCCTGTCTGGCGCTCGGCATTAAGGGGCTAAAGCAAGGACTGGTCGGCTCGGAGTCAGTATACTGTGTCTGAGTGGGGTATTCATGTTAAACTGCGGCATGGTATCTCAGTGTGCTAGCACTATAAATCGGCATCAGTCCGGACTAGTACAAGCAGCCACACAAACACACACACGTACATGCACGTCGCTATATAAGTGCAATAATCTTGGACGCGACGTTAAACCCCATTTCACCTCACCTCACCTCATACAGCTGGAGTGCGGCGTTCAACTATCCTCAACGTCCAGGATGGACCTAGCTGCATATGTCGTTGATGTTATTTTGTTAGTGTCAAAGGTATCGCCTACACCTGGTAAAACGTTGGTATATAGAAACTTTTTGCTCCTCTGGTCATTGCAAACGCAAGAGCAACACAAACTATACCTCTCAGTTCGTTTTATGATATGATTTAAAACGGAAATATCTTACGTTAGCGATATACAGTAAACTACGGTTATAACGAACTCAAAGGGACCACTAATTTTAGTTCGTTATAACCGTAGTTCGTTATAAGCATAATAAATACAGCATCTAAACAAACGATCGGGACCAAAAAAGAAGTTCGTTATATCCATCATTTCGTTATAACCGTGTTCGTCATAAACGTAGTTGACTGTATATCTAGTGAACTGTATTGGCGCTTAGTCAGCACTCAACGAATACGTCTACATGGTTTTATTGTTTCAAATATAGTCGATTTCAAAACTTTTAAAATTAAAATAATATTTCGCATAATACACAACTGTTGATGGTCATCTCAGATATCCTATCTTTGAAAATAGATAAATTTGATTTTTCGGCATAAATTTACATTTCCAATATGCAGTAAACTACGGTTATAACGAACTCAAAGGGACTACTATTTTTAGTTCGTTATAACCGTAGTTCGTTATAAACATATATACAGCATAACCACAGCAAAAAGTCGGGACTAAAAAGTAAGTTCGTTATATCCGTCAGTTCGTTATAAGCGTGTTCGTTATAACCGTAGTTTACTGTAGTAAGGAGCGTATTGTTGCAAATTCATTTCTTACCCCCGGTCTTCATTGAACCAATCTTTTTTACACACAATTACCCAGCCACAGATTACTGTTTACAAACTGTTGCCGGAATGAGTGATGGTTAAAAAGACATACTTAAATTTAACGATAGTTCTTTCAATTTTCAATCACATAACAAACAAACTCGGTATATTTTATTTTGCCCCTCAGTATATAATATGGGAAGAAGCTGACGTGGCATTTGAAAAAGTAAGTCAAATATCACATTACTTTTCTTAGTAAGAAAAGCAGTATGTCACGTTGTAAACATACAAATGTGATACTCAAATAATAAATCTACGGTACGGTTTAGTAATGGCTCCTTATATGGAAATTAAAAGTTTAATTATTTTCCAGGTGTATATTTCAATATTTAAAAGCCATTTAAAAAAATCTTATCCTGTATTAAGTTTTAGGCAAAAGGCATGTTTTTGAGTACGCATATTGAAATACAGAAGTCAATTTCGATTATCTTTGTGACTACAGTCAACTACGTTTATGACGAACACGGTTATAACGAAATGATGGATATAACGAACTATTTCCCGATTGTTTGTTTATATGCTGTATTTATTATCCTTATAACGAACTACGGTTATAACGAACTAAAATTAGTGGTCCCTTTGAGTTCGTTATAACCGTAGTTTACTGTATTTCATCGGCTTCCTCTCCTTCGCATCAAGTGATGTGACTCGGTGATGAGACCGCCCGGAGATACATACAGTGTTCTTGTACCCACATTTCTCCAGGTATCATTGGTATGTAAGACATGTAGCAAAATGATATCAATGTCTTTTTCTATAAATATGGAAGTTTCACATAAATGAAATAAAAAAGGCTGGTTACTTTTTTCAAGTGTATATATTGCAATCTCGATATCCTGAAGTCCCGAAAAACTAAACAAAAATGTTCATGTGGAGACATTTGTACCCAAATCATTTACTGAAAAACCCGCGTGAGTTTGCACAGAGTATAAAGACTAGGCTTGTGCTTGTAAATTTGATTGAAGTCATAGTCCATCCAGAGTTACATCCCTTTGGTCGTTTCGAGACTGGCTGAAATAAGCACAAGCTGCGAGGCTTGACGAAACAATGCAGTGATTGATATTGTGAATGACGCTCCACCCCGCCGGGCCACGATCAACCAAGTCACCGAGTCTAACCACCCGATCAATTTGGTCGCCGTTAAGACCGGTATAGGTTGTATGGTCTTTGCCCAACCGGAATCCCCACGCTCATATGAGATGTGATATATAAGTACTAAGACATACATGTCGGTTAGTCTATGTGTAACGGTGTTAGCTTCATAGTCATAGAGCCGCCCCCGTGGTCTAGTGGTAGAGCGTCTGCCTGGAGAGCGGAAGGTCGGGGATTCGATCCCAAAAGACGTTCAAAAACGTACCTGTGGTTAGCCTGCCTGACGCTCGGCATTAAGGGGCTAAACACGTCAGTATACTGTGTCTGAGTGGGGTATCCATGTTAAACTGCAGCATGGTATCTCAGTGGGCTGGCACTATAAAATCGGCATTGGTCCAGACCAGTACAAGCACACACACACACACGCACGCACGCACGCACGCACGCACACACACACACACACACACACTTGCACGTCGCTATATAAGTGCAATAATCTAAGACCGCCTCCGTGGTCTTGTGGTAGAGCGTCCGCCCGGAGAGCGGAAGGTCCAGGGTTCGATCCCGGGCCGCGTCATACCAAAAGACGTTAAAAGATTGTACTTGTTGTTACCCTGTCTGGCGCTCGGCATTAAGGGGCTAAAACAAGGACTGGTCGGCTCGGAGTCAGTATACTGTGTCTGAGTGGGGTATTCATGTTAAACTGCGGCATGGTATCTCAGTGAGCTAGCACTATAAATCGGCATCAGTCCGGACTAGTACAAGCAGCCACACACACACATACACGTGCATGCACGTCGCTATATAAGTGCAATAATCTTGGACGCGACGTTAAACCCAATTTCACCTCACCTCACCCACTTTACCTCACATCAAAGTCATTAGCACAACCCCCGGGTTATCTCCCCTATATGGTGCACGTGTAAAGTGACGTAAAATCGATCAGTCAAACCATCCTCTGGTTTCCTTGGGTAGTTAGGTAACCGAGTGGTTAAATGGTTAGCTCCTTACGCCGAAGTCCCAGGTTCGATTCCCAAAACGGGTAAATTGTGTGAAGAACATTTCTGATGTTTACTGCATTGGCATTGCTAAAATATTGCTATGTCGTCTGAGACGACGCAATTCGCCATGCAGAGTTGCGTCCCTTAGTCTTCCCAGGATCTGTTGATTGTAAGTTCGAATCTCTGATTCGCCTGATTATGAAACTTACCCCCAAACGTCCATCTTAAAGACCAGCTTTGGTTTAGCATCCTGCATCATGCTCACAGGTCGTGACGTCACTGAAGATGTTCACAGCGGCGTAAAATTACATTCACTCTGTATACCCTGACAGCGGAAAGATTGTTAGCCCCTTCTCAGGTAGACAAAACTGTTTTATTTTATCATTGCAATTTGAGAAATCACATCACTCACTAACTCCGACGTTCGATTGATGACGCGTATCAATTGATGAGCGTGATGTTTCAGAGTTTAAAATAACGTTGTCCGTTCCAAGGCTCAGTGTTTAAGGAAGTAATGCGTATGTCAGATAAGTCTACATATACTCAACATAGCCCATCGAAAGAGATCCTGCGCCGTTGATTGGGACATAAGGATGATTATATCAGTACATGTCATTGGTATTGTGTTGTTCCAGTGGTGCGAGCAAGGACGATGTGTTGAATCTGAAGATGCACCAGTTAAAGATGGTAAGATAATTTCCTATATTATACCCCGCCACGAAGTGGGACTGGTGATATAGGAACGGAGTCCGTCTTTCCGTCTGTCCGTCCGTCCGCTTCTCAAAGGAGACACATTTTCTCAAAAACTATTTAAGTTAGAGAAATTAAATTTTACACACTTGTGTTACTGGTCATGATCTAAAATGAGTTCTAAAATTGGTGTCTTAAATTCATTTATTACAGAGTTATGTCCCTTGCTCCGGGCTTTTTAACTTAGTGCATGGTGTCTGCAATGGGGACAAGTTGTCTCAGAAACTACTGAAGTTACATGAATGAAAATTCGCATGCTTCTCTAAGTGTTACTTGTCAAGACAGAGCTTCAAAATCGGTGCCGTAAATAATTTTTCTACAGAATTATGGCCCGTGCTTTTCAGCTTAGTGCGGGGCGGTCGGGTAGCCTAGTGGTTAAAGCGTTCGCTCGTCACGCCGAAGACCCGGGTTCGATTCCCGACATGAGTACAATGTGTGAGGCCCATTTCTGGTGTCCCCCGCCGTGATATTGCTGGAATATTGCTAAAAGCGGCGTAAAACCATACTGACTCACTCACTTCAAGTTAGTGCATAGTGTTTACAATCGGGACAACATTTTCTCAGAAACTACTGACGTTACATAAATAAAAGTTTGCGTGCTTATCTGAGAGATACTATTTTTTTCCTGATTTACGTCCCTTAATACAGCTTTTAGATTTGGAGGATACACAGTTACGGCCCTTGATCCATGTTATGTTACAAAATGCATAGTGTCTGCAATTGCAATGTGGACAAGTTTTCCCAGAAACTACTGAAGTTAGCTTATGTAAGAGATGCTTATCAAGACTGAGTTCGAGAATTGGTGCCATAAAATAATCCACGGAAGGGGCCTTTTGTGTGTATTTATTTCACATTTAATCATTTTTTATGATGACATAAAGCGGCCCTAGTCTTCAGGCTTTATAAGACTCTTTTTTATAGTTTATTTTCCCTACTTTATGAACAAAGAAAAATCTAATGTGCCCCATGGCGGGGGATAGTGATAACGCTGTTTTCTTCTTCTTCTTCTTCTCTTCTTCTTCTTCTTCTTCTTCTTCTTCTTCTACTTCTGCAATGTTGCATTGTGCCGGAAACACACACTGTCTTCATGCTGCCGCTGTAACGTATCATCCCCGAAAGGGAGCACGGGCGGTCCTGTCGACTAAGGTGCCGCTACTCAAAATGCAGAGTTGCGCCCCTTAGAGACCTATGGTCTAAGTTTGTCAGAACACGTGTTCGTGGGTTTCCCCAAAGTTGTAAACGTGTAACCCTCGTATCACTTCGGGATTTCCTCCCACATTAAGCTGACATGCATTGATGTAACTGGAATACGGTTCAAATTTACGTTAAACCCAACTCACTCACTCACTCACTAACTTATCCCCCGTAATTATACGCTCATTCAAACTGTTACGTTGCAAATAAACAAAACTTTCATTCTTGTAGATGATTGTGTCTTTGGTGACGAAGTCGGGGTCACCGTGAACGGCAAAACGTGCTCAGCAGCGGTGGCGGAGGCGCCTTATGCCTGTTACAGAAGTGATATTCGGCAGCGTTGTTGTGGATCGTGCGGGAATATTCAACCACGTACAAGAGGTAAGAATGCGAGGGGTGTTGATTTGAACAAATTTCCTGAAAATGTGGATAAACTGCCATCCAAACAAGGAAATGGTGACCCTTCACAAAGTTAAAGTCAAGCTTTTATGTCAAGAATCCTACTTCTCCGTATTATTCATATGGTATTACAAAAAAAGATTAATGGTACACACGAAACGTATGACACATTCCGAAAGACGTTAAAATATGGTACTTGTTGTAACCCTGCCTGACGTTGGGCATTCAGGGATTGAAATAAAGACTGGTAGGCCCCGGGTCAGGATACTGTGTCTGAATGGGGATTTCATGTTAAACTGCGGCATGGTATCTCAGTGAGCTAGCACTATAAACCCGGCTAAAGTCCGGACTAGTACAAGACGCCACACACACACACTTTCTCTCTCTCTCTCTCTCTCTCTCTCTCTCTCTCTCTCTCTCTCTCTCTCTCTCTCTCTCTCTCTCTCTCTCTCTCTTACACACACACACACACACAAACAGTCACACGCATATACGCACACACACGCGCGCACACACACGTATATGCACGTCGCTATAAGTGTAATAATGTTCAACGCAACATTAAACCCCATTTCACATCACAAAAAGGACCCCAGAAGCACCAACGGTCCTTAGATCCAAAACAAATCGTGCCACACAACCTGGCCGTTTAGTATGTACGTTTCTGCCACGCATACTCTAAATTTCCCAATGCAGGAACATACTTGAAATTCATGTTTTTTATCTGCGCGAATCTTAACAACATGACAGCAAAATTATATTCATACTTAAAAAATAAGTCATAACGTATAATAAAGTTGGTGCGGTACATATACATGCAGTCGGAAAGCAGTATGAATGGCAAAGCTCCATGCTTTTTATATATTTGAATCATGAAAATACAAGTTGGGGACAAGTGACACTTGTTGTCATACAATATACTGCAATAGAATTCATTTATGTGTGATGTTGTATTCGATCAGTAAATACGGATCTGTAAAGAAATACAGCTACTAAGGTAAAAAGATTACTTTGGATAATAATAATCTTTATGCGTATTTGTACGCCGTCAACTCAAAATAGATTGTGTAATATTGATTTATTTTTACGCAACTACGCAGCTTATCCGATGCTCTGATTTGATGAATATTACAAGAACTGTTTTCTACCAAGGCTGCGAGTACGGAGACAAACTACCCGGCTGCGTGACACGCGGCTGTCACTCCATCCTCACTAACGGTAAAATCTATGACGACGACTGCTGTCGGACGTGCAACTTCAGCATCGATGCATGGCAATGCAGAGACGAATCTACAGCCGATCTCGACTGTTCTCGTATACAATCCTACCAGTGTTATACACCTAACATTGCCTTCTCCTGCTGTTCTGCGTGTGCAAAATACCGGAATGTCGACAATACTGGTAAGTAGAAATGTTTATGTTGATGAGTAGTTAAGCCTTTTTGTTTTAGTGTATATTAATGTGGTGTCAGGGTGTCCGTATGATACCAAACGTCTTTAATCGCGCTTGGTTGACAGGTGTCTTTTTGTGGGGAACATAATGCTCTTAGCGACAGGCGTTTACAGTCTAAGGGAGATAACTCTATGTCTCCTCAAAGGGAGATAACCAATGTATAACCAGTGATTTACGGAATTCTAATGTTGCTAAGTAACTAGTATAATGGTAATGATATCTGGTTAGGTTGAGATTTAAAATCCGCAGTCTCAGTGTAGATTCCTAGATCTTAAATAAACAAGTCGTGTTGTAACTGGCTTTGCTACGATCGTTCAACCTATGTTTTGTTTGTTAAGTTATGCTAGTAATTGTTGTTATTATGTGAGAGTGTTGATGTGGTGTTAGGCTGTCTTTGTGATGTGGGTTTGGTATAATGGGGTTTCACTGTAATCCCCAGAAACATTACTCCGCACCAAGATTCGTTTATCCAGACAATGGTGAATCAAGCGATTACCCAGAGAAAGGAATCGTCCGGTTAAACGAAGTTTCACTGAATTAAGCCTTATTTGGCCTGTAGTTGTCATGCCGGTCTATCGTTGGTTGGTTGGTTTGTTGTTTAACGCCGCATTCAGCAATATTCCAGCTATATGACGGCGGTCTGTAAATAATCGAGTCTGGACCAGACAATCCAGTGATTGACATCATGAGCATCAATCCACGCAATTGGGATCGATGACATGCATCAACCAAGTCAGCGAGCCTGACCACCCGATCCCGTTAGTCGCCTTTTACGACAAGCATAGTCGCCTTTTACGACACGCATAGTCACCTTTTACGACAAGCATAGTCACCTTTTCTGGGGAAGGGGTGGCCTTTCAGTTTACCTTGTGTTTCAAAGGTCACATACAGGCAGACATACACGTGGCACATCCTAATACCTTGTTTCCTATATATATATTTCTTTATAGGCTGTGAATACGGGGACCAGCAGGAGCGATGTGATATTCTAAGTAACTACGGAAAGGAATGCAGCACCGACAGACAAGTCAAGGAAGTCTGTTGCAAAACATGTTCGCCGGATATCAATTCTGCGCATGTCATGACGTCATCTTTCGCGGCCATATTTTTACTTTTCATAACAAATTTGCTTTATGTTTGTCAGGAAATGAACAGATATGTGCGATAAATGGCATCAGCAAAACCCTAATTTCACACCTGGACCAGTCCCACCCGACCTCAGCGCTGAGCTAATCGTAACATAGGCATATGATCGTCGTAGCGCTGAGGTCACTTTGTCGAACGGTGCCAAAACTGCTCTCAATTATTTACAAGCCGCTTAAGACGTTTCACATATACTTGAAGTCATTCCCAATCCTCCAAAAATATAACCCCTTTATGATCTGATTCATAAATCAGGGAAATGTGCCAAATATGATATAATGTAACTACGACTTTAAAATGATATCTTATTATGTTTGTTTGCTGTTTACGCCGCACACCACTCTATAAATAATACCGCGATTCGCTGTGCAGAGTTGCGTCCCTTGGGCACGCCAGAAACCTATGATTGCGGGATCGAATCCAGGTTCACCCCGATTATGTTTCTAGGTTTGTCAGCACCATACCCGTGCTCGTGGGTTTCACCGAAGTGGTAAACGTCTGGGACCTGCATCACTTCGGTCTTTCCTCCCACATTAAGCTGACACGCCGCGATATAACTGGTCACGGGTCAAGAGCGAAATGAGTACAATTAAGCATTTATTGCCAGGTAGATCAGGGAGTGCGAGATACTAGTACATGAAGGCGAATCAGATAATTATTAATATATACATCAAGGGCAACATAATTATTTACTGGGATGCGAGGCTTATTCGGAGCTTAGAAATAAGTATTATGATACTCAATAAAAAGTTAGCCATACGCATACAAAATGATTGACTACTAACGTAGCTTTGTCAAAATTTGTATAGTTTGCTTCTGAATTCCACTTGGCAATGCAGTAACGATATTCATAGCTTCAACATACATTGCTGTTTATCATTATTTGATTTCCAGTAGTGCAAACTGTATATATGTACTGATTCTCCAAATGCACTACTTTGTGTAATCTGTTGTGTATGTAACTGTGTTCAATGGGCCTCTAGCCTGAAACTTCAATCACAAATAATCAGGGTAATTTTAATAGCCAGCGTTCAGTTTTATCACAGCGAGATACTATCATGACCAAGAGTGAGACTGACACGTTTATTGAGAGTGGTTCTTGAATTGCGATGGAGACGTGTGAGAGTTAACGATCCTTTGAGAAAATGTGATGTAGACATGCAAGGAATTAGCTAAAGCCTATGTACATTATCGGAGGATTGAGTTAATAGTTTGTGTGTTGTCTAACGACGCACTCAGCAATATTCCAGCTATATGACGGCGGTCTGTTATTAATGGAGCATGGACCAGACAATCCAGTGATTGACCTCATGTCGAAGCGATCCACGCAATTGGGATACGATGATATGCATCAACCAAGTCAGCGAGCCTGACAACCCAATCACGTTAGTCGTTTCTTTCGACAAGCATGGGCGCCTTTTATCGCAAGTATGGGTTGCTGAAGACTTATTCTACCACGGATCTTCACGGGTCGATTTGCGTTAATAACTATGATCTTTTATAATCTGGCACACAAAGCCACCAACCAATATGGTGTGTTTTTCATCTTGGGTTCGAATCTCAGATTAGCCATGATAATGTTTCAAGGTTTTTCAGCAATATACCCGTGCTCGTGGGTTTCACCAAATTGGTAAACGTCTGAGACCTGCATCACTTAGGGTTTCTTCTCAAATGAACCTGCCACGCCGTGATATACTGAAAGACTGTTCAAAGCGGCGATAAAACCAACAAACTGGAATTAGTTGTATGTTTATGAATGAATGAAGTTAATTGTTGTGGAACCTCATTTTATACATGCATATCAATAATAACATAGATGACTTATTGATATTTTTGTGTGTCTACAGCTGAAGCAAAATGTACAAGAATGATATTAATATAATCTGAATAGGGCATGTATTGTCCGGTGGTTTTGAAATGATTGATATTGCTCAAATGAAATATTCATGTATTTGTTGATATTTTATATGAAAAGAATAAAAATGTAGACTGCGTTGTTTGTTTTTGTCGATACATATATACATGAACATATGCAGTAAATTAGCCTGGTGGTGGTTTTTCAAACTACCGGGTACCCATGCACTGCTGGGTGAACAGAGGCATGGTTCCATCAAAGTCATCTGCCTCAGGAGACATCCCATGTGGTACATGTGTTTCAGTGAAGGGTAGGACCGAAGCCCTGGAAACTCTCAATGAGTAAAGCCCCCGTACACTATCACCCATCTGTGTGCGACGTTCACCTTTTTTGCGTCTAGATATTAAATATATAATTTAAAAAAACGCTGGCAGCGGTGTGCAGATGGGTGGGTGGGCGTGCTCGGCACGCTTCACTTCGGCGAGTTTCTAGGGTTTCAGTTCCAGGCTGGTATTTGATCTGAATGCAAAAGGGCAACTTGTTTGGAGCGCGGAAATTGAATGTACAGTGACCCGTTAGCCAGGGAGATCTGCAAGACTTAATATCTGTTTGTTGTTATCATTAACCACTTAAGTGAGTGAGTTGGGTTTCACGCCGTTTTTATCATTATTGCAGTTATATCACGGCGTGTCAGCTTAATGTGGGAGGAGAGCTCGAAGTGATGCAGGTCTCAGACGTTTACCATTTCGGTGAAACCCACGAGCACGGGTATGGTGCTGACAAACCTAGAAACATAATCGGGGCGAACCGGGATTCGAACCCACAATCATAGGTGCCTGGCGTGCCCAAGGGACGCAACTCTGCACAGCGAATCGCTGCGCCTTAGACGACTTGGCTACCCGTGTCCCCTAACCACTTAGGTTAGCCGTTTGACATCTTGGTTTAACTTAGGAACATACCTCATTCAACAAAGAAATATTAAGTCATGTCAAAATAGGTTTTATTTCTATGTACAATATATACATGATAATGATATAAAAAATCCATTATATTAATTGTAGAGGCCAGCTCTAATAATAACTATGTATATACATGAAATTTAAAAAAGATATACGTTAAATCAAAATTAAAATATTTTGAGATTAGATTAAGTGACTAAATGTTGAAAGGGCGTTTCATAAACATGACTGGAATGTGACTTCATCATTATTAAGCGAATGGGTTTTCCTTAACACTGACCAGATTTCAACATGTCTGAGTGACAAAACATAAACAAAAATATAATACCATGTCAAACGTGATTGTGCGAAAAAAAAGTCGCAGAAATCACAACTCCCTGATTTCGTCAAGATATGTATCAAGAATATCAAGAACATCAAGAAGTAGGACATGGCAGAATCTTTATCTGTTTCTGTTATACCTTGGTCTTGTATAAAAATAGACTCAAGATGCGTGTTTAGTAATTCATCATTTATACTTGTTATAATGTTTTCGGATATACATATAATTCACCCTGATTGCACTGACGTGTTGAGATTATATTTCAACTGTTATACTTGTGTTGACTACGTTTTGGCTCTTTTGATCAATTACTCCGTCCCGCAGAGCACGTTGGTCATGGGAGAGATATGGTTACAGAACATGCAACAGAGATCTGAAAGCCACATATACATATTTCTGATTTGATATCTATCTTCAAAATCCTGAAAATCTTATTGAAAAAGAATGATATTGTATAGAAAAAATAAAATGTAACCCAAATTAAAGCAGATTAAATGTAAGCAAACAGAATGCCTTAAAACCCCAAAATATTCAAGTTGATACAAATATGAAAGATGTGTATCAACTTATAATACCCAAACCAACATAATTGAATGTAAATGTTAAAATGAAATCGGACATGTAAGCGTTTTATGTATAAAGGATGCGCTCAGATGTCACCATCCCTCATTTGCACTGTTGATCAAACCGACAAGCAAACCTCAGCACAACATACACGCTAGAATTTGACAAGCATTCTATATTATAAGTATTATGCTTATCTGCAATACGTGACACAGCGTTCTCCATCTCAGAGACCAACACGTTTCATTTGCAATGTTAACTGAGTTAATTGTTGCTGTGAATGCATAAAATGCACACAAGAAATAGTCGGTGTTAAAGAAATAAATGTCATATGAAAAGTAAAGGACAACCAGAATTGCATACAACCATCGACAAACAAGCTATCCACCTTATAATGTCTATCACAGAATGGTTTGGATGAGCTCTTTGTTATTGGAAGACCACGTGACTCTTCACGTATTTTGTTCAGTATTGGTACGCTACGTCTATCATTGGACCAATCAGTGATGACCAAACTAACTGACATGTAGTCAAGACTTCGCAACGACACAACTGTTAACGCAACGCAACTTGCATTATCACAAGCTCACAACTTGACAATCATGTTGAGGACCATAAACTACTATTGCAATATCGTTGAGCATTATCGATTTCATTGTTTCTCTGACGCAAGGGTGTCTACAAAACACAACTGTACAGTGCTATCTTCAGCATCTGTCCAAGGCACCATTAATGTTGAGCATTATCGAGTAGATTGTCTGCCATCAGAGCAGTGTGCATTCTACGCTGAACATGGTGTTATTCAAAATACAGCCACAACGATGGAATAGGAATGCCATGAAGACAGCTGCAATGTTAATGATAAAAAAGTCTTTAACCCTGTGCAAGTAGACACCTTGACAAACTCTTTCACAATGGTTCACTTATGTCCAGGAACTGACGCCTATCAATTTGTTCATCAAATCGATACAATGTTGTTGGAGCGGTCGAAGGTATTAGTAGAAACCCCTGAGATCTTCTCACAACCTCGCCTGTCTTCAAGACAACTTCATTCATTAGGAGACAAATACCCACCAGCAAATGTCCTTGTAAAATGCGCAATTGTAATGATTGTCCACAACCACATGTGAACTAAATAACCAGCGCTATCATACAAATAATGCTATAAGGGTGACACATAGTCCGGACAATATTGCGGATATTGCTGACCATCCCGTCCGATGATCAGCCCTTGATATAACAGATTTACAAGTATTGCAGCAGGTTTCTTCCAATCCCTTGCAAGAGGTATCCAAAGGTGCTGTCAGACCGCTGCAGATTGCTGGACTCTTGTCGCCATACTTACATCCTGAAATAAATAACATGCATTATATTAGAGTAATGCAAATAACAAGGTTGCAAGAGTGCACATACCTTCCGTGAAAACTTATACGCCCATGAAAGGTGAAAAAATACATCTGACCCTTTGTTTCATTTTTTAAATGATTAAAGCAATAATATGTCTCGTCACTCACAGTCCACTGAAGAACGTGTGCGTGTCTACATTTATTAGGAATAAACTCATGAAACTCAAGTTGGTTCTTATCACAAAGCACATTTAAGTCACATATCTTAAAACGTATTTGAAACATGTAGTAGACTGCTGCACACCAAGACATGTCGACACCCTTCATCGTGTATTCAAACAGACACACCTTATTACACCTGGTCATAGGGAAGTCAACCCAAATATATCAATTAAAATACAAATGTACAAGGAAAATAAGAAACTATATGAAGAAATAAGACGTGATGCGAAACATGACTGCTTTCAATACAAACGAAACAACCTTTACCAGCGTAAACAAATCAGCTTTAAAGATATGTACATAGTCTAAACATTTTTATCACAACCATGTACCTGGATCAGAGTCAATTCGAATATTAGCGCAAGAAACACAGCATAGCTCTTCAAAATCTGGTATGTAACAAGCCGGGGATCCTTCCGTTCTAAGATTAACAGAGCAGTTGCTGTTGGTGTCAACACACGCTGGAGTTGTGGTCGCTGGACGTGTCGTAGGGGTTGTAGTTGTAGCTGAGGTAGTCTTGGTTGAAGTTGGTGGACGCGTTGTGATAGGACTAGGAGTAACAATTTTCGTTGTAGGCGAAGGACGTTGGGTTGTTGTTGTTCTCGTTGTAGTAGTCGGGCGTGTAGTTGTTCTCGTTGTTGTAGTCGGACGAGTAGTTGTTGTTGTAGTTGATGTTGTTGTCGGTGGTGCAAGTGTTGAAACAAGTACGTTTGAACACGTGTCACAGCAGAAGTATGTGTACGGCGTTCCGTCGTCAAAGACGTGGTCACAGAGTACTGCATAGCAGCTATTATATCGGTCTCCGTAGGGGCAGTCTAGAGTTGGAAACGAGTTTCATGAATATCTACTGTTATACCGCATAAAATTGTAACTAGACCTTTGTCTAAATTTTATTGCAGTATGAAATCCAATATAAGTTATAAAAAAATGTTTTCACATTTAATTCAATTAAGAAATGATAAACATATAACTACATTTAAGATTTCTAGGTGTTATGGAAAAGTGCAACAGTGTTACTATTGTGAAGACAGACCACTCTAAGACTAACGAAAAGAGCAAATTAGAAGTAAGTTGGCAAAATAAAGTCTGTTGTGAGTGATAAGCGAGGGGCGCAGGAACTAGGCTTTTATTACAATTCTGTATACACTTATATCCTCATGGGACCGAATGACAAACTTCTGCTGATACTCTTGTAAAGAAAATATCCAATATTCTCCCTCAAACACTTATTCCCTCCCCTCCCAGTACACAACAAAAGGGCGAACCGGGATTCGAACCCATGATCTTAGGTTTCTCACGTGCCCAATGGACAAACCAAATGTTAAAGGATATAGTTATAAAATGATAAAGACCTTCAAATAAGGGTTTAATCCTAACCCGCCAAACTCTGAGACATATTTCCAAGGAGTTTTCCTGCTCGTAATGTGCATGTCAAAATGTATTCCATCTGAAGTCAGGTGTGATTCACCAGAAACTGTTTACCAAATTAAATACGTTATTTTTCGTTTTTTCAAAAGTATGAGCAGAAGTTTGATTTGATAAAAAATCATTCACCTTGCCTTTTTGTCATTTTCCAATTTCGTTTCATTGTTATTTGTTATCTTCCCTAGGAAAGAAATCCTAAAGATGAAAGATAACGCATCCAAGACGATGGGCGTGATGAAGGCTTAATACGACCACTTAATGGCCTACGTCGGAAAAAGAAACCTCGCCCTGAAAAGTGGTGATCAGGTTGATTAGGAGTCAGGGTTGTACACTGCAGAGAGTTCGAGAAAGTTCTCCATGTATGTTAGAGGTGCTTGACATTGTGAAGCAATAGAAAATCAACTACAGTGCACTGCACAGAGTTAAAAGAAAGCGTTTGTGAATTTAAACTAAAGAAAAATCGGAAATGAAACATAAAACTAAGAGATAAAAAGTACTAAGCTAGTGGATTAACTAGTGAGTGAGTGAGGGGGGTTTTACGCCGCTTTTAGCAATATTCCAGCAATATCACGGCGGGGGACACCAGAAATGGGCTTCACACATTGTACCCATGTCGGGAATCGAACCCGGGTCTTCTGCGTGACGAGCGAACGCTTTAACCACTAGGCTACCCGACCGCCCCGGATTAACTAGTGGAAGACTACAGAGATAGTAATTTATTTTAACAGAAAGCTGAACGAAATAAGAACAGTGATGGTTAAACAGTAAATATTCCTAGTTTTTGGTTAAAGGGTTTGGTTAAAGATTTCGTTTGTGCGTTACCTGGTTTGGAGGGGTTGGAAACAGCTGCACACGAACTGCAGCATGCTTTAGAAACGTCGCTGTTGTAGCAACGCCCCTTGCCGTACAGGCCGATATAAGCCTGGCAGCTTACACCGTATATCCTCTCTGAACACCTCTCTTGCACAGGTGTAGTGGTGGTGGGTCTGGCGGTCGTTGTTGTAGTCGTTGTTGTGGGAGTGGTTGTCGTAGTTGTGGGTGTAGTTGTAGTAGGAGTTGTGGTAGTGGTGGTAGTTGTTGTAGTGGTAGTTGGGGTTGTTGTTGTTGTTGTTGTTGTTGTTGTTGTTGTTGTTGTTGCCGGTCTACCGCTGCAGGTGTCGCAGCAGTAGAAACGGTAGGGAGTTCCGTCCGCGTAGACGTAGTCGCAAGCGTTATCTACACATCCACTGAACCAATCCCCGTACATGCAGCCTGGAGAAATATCGTCATAAAGATAGGATATCGCTTAAATTGGTCATGACAACCAAGACGTTTTTGCAAAGTCATTTTTGTTCCTACTTTCTACCGTCTTTCCTCGATATGCTCAAACAGAATGTTGAATATTGAGGTTTCATTGGAATATATCTCAATGTGAGTGGATAACATCTCAGAACAATTTACCAGTATTCCGGCAATATCGCGACATGCTATACCAATAGCTGGCTTCACGCTGTGGGACATCTAGGGTCTCCGTTGTGGATGCCCAAACGCCCATCAAAGATTAAAGGGGATAAACATCAAAGAGGGACGCCCGATATATGAGTGTGTGTTTGGTTTAACGTCGCTTAGCACATTATTTCAGTTATATCACGATGTGTAATCTTTACATGGGAGGAAGACCCGACGTGGCGCAGGCCTTAGACGTTTAGCATTCAGTGAACTCAGGGACATGGTGCTGACAAACCTCTAAACACAATTAGGCCGATTCTGGGATTCGAACCCACGACCCCAGGTGTCTGGCGAGCCTATCAGACGCAACTCTGCTCAGTGAATTGGCCCTCCAAGCCCCAGTTCTATCTATGACATATATTCTTCCTTTAAAGTTATTGATGGTATATGAATATGAATATGAATATGAATATACAGGGGCAGTACTAACTACGCTAGGATATGACTACTAAGTATGTACATGTATATGCTTAAACATCAGTTTCAACGGCGTTTGAAGATTGCTGTACCGTCATAAAAGAATATGACATGACTAGACAGTGGTATTATAACATTACGGTTATTGACATTGTGTATATAGGCATGACGAGAAGGGTTAAACACGGACTATTACAGAATGAGTTCAGGTGTGACACAAGCAGAGTGAGATTAGAGTGCAGTACTGTGACAGGGTACTGTGAGGAAAGAAGAAGGATTCTTCGTTTCCCTAGAAAGTCAGGGATGGAAAGCTCCGTTATCTCTTCTGATAAAGATTCTGACGTGATCAAATAAACTTGTATTTGTACCATCGCCAAAACGTTCTTCTTCCAATTTCAAAGTTAATCCATTGTCTGTCTGGCGTAGAGGGAGAGGGCGATATACTTATTGCGATATATTCTCTCAAAAGTTGACTGTTTCATTCTTCTTTCGTTGGCATTTCTTACGCCACACTCAATCTTTCTCCTCGCGAGCTGAAGTACATCCATTGCAGTTCACAGGTCTGGTTGTTAAAGAAGGGAGGTAACTCCTGAAGGTTTATCGTCCTCCGAGGAACTTTCTCATGATAAATTACAGAGCACACAGTTCAGGTGAGAAAGCTTTTATTAGGTTAGGTTTGTTAGAACAACAGTTCACACAACAGAGACAGACATGGCATATCGTACGCAGTGGAGGTTACATGGCACACATGTTATATCGGACAGGTTGTCAATATGTAATTAATGAAAGCAGTCATATTAGCACATCAAGAAAGAAGAAAGCGTTAGGTTTCATTCTGGAAAATACTTTCCACACTTCCAAATGAATGAGTCTCACGCATCCTAATGTCAACCAGTATAACACTATGTTAAGTACAAGGCGGTGGTAGTATCAATACCAACTTAGGTTATATAACACCTCCTTGACTTAAAACATACACTACTGAAAATATTCTCAGCCACAAAAACATCTTTCAGATTAAAAAAAGCGAGTGAAAGCAAATCAATATCTTATTGATATTTGTACCTTGATGACATTTTGGCGTTTATCATTGGATAATACTGACAGTTGTCGATTTTTTTACTATTACTTAAGGAAAAATATAAGAAAGAACAATGATCGTGTTTTTGTGATGTTGAAACTCATTCAGGAAGCTAGGTAAAACAGCAAGATCAAACATCGAACTGACAATAACGTTAGTAAAGAAGTACACAACGCAGATTATGCTGTATTTGTAAAGTTAGTAACGAAAGCACACAATGCAAATTATGCTGTATAAGTGTTATTGTAATGAGAATGATATAAGCACATGCAGTACTCAAACAAGTTAAGCAATTTCTCAAGCAGAAACACAGAATCGATGAACACGCATGCATTTCAATCATGCAAACATCTTTTAATTGTCCACAAACGAACTTTTGATTAAAGCGATATCAATTTCCAGATCCCCAAACCAAGATAAAATAGCATTTCGACCCGAATTTTACCTCCCTAACTCTTTTAGCAAACAGCACACATTATCAGAAAACAAGATGGCTGCTATGTCGTGGCAGCCATCTTGTAACGACAGGTTAGTCCCATATCCTCTAAGCGATAGGTTAGCAAATGAGAGTAATCTCCCTTACCTTGTATGCCCGTTTGTCTCTGTTTACAAGAGAAGCAGCAGTAGTTTTGGGTGGACTCGCTGTAACAGACGCCTGGGTCTGAGATGACGTATCCGACACACGACATTCCGTTGAAAGTTACGCCATTCCTGTCACCAAGGTTACTGGTGCAATCACCTGGAACAGCAGAGAAAAGGACATTCACAGTTATTATTACTTTATGGCATGGCTAGTTCGTAAGTTAAATGATAAAATATATAATCACTTTGACATAAACAGCCTACGACACTATCACTTTTCGAAGTTAACAATATATGACATGAAGCGTTTTAAGGAGTTTTCAGTCTCGACCTCTACAATATCTCGAATGATTTTCCCGCAGCATTAAGCAGTATTTTTATAGATTGCAAGTCCAATATATTGCCAATCCAGATTACTTATACATTAGACTGAACAATAAAGACTAACAATGAGAATAATTGAGATCATGCATCGTTGATCTATCCGTGGAATATTCATTGCATGTTTTCTGTGATATATTAAGCTCGGGTCTTTATCGCAAACCTACACTCACAATATAATTTTATTAACTAAACAAAACACGATTTTAGCCAGACGATCGGACGTGTTGTACATGTTAACCATCCGACAAAAATATCCTCTCGTACTGTCGGGCAGGCGATTACTTTTTACACTGTTTTATGTGATATTTTAGTTATATCTTGGCGCGTCAGGTTAATGTCGCAGAAAAACCCATTTGGCAGGTCGAAGCTACTTTGGTGAAACCAACGATAATGATAATGATCCCAAAGCTTCCCAACTCCCGTCTCCCCCATCCCTCTGACGTACCTCCTTGTGAAGTGGATGCCGTAGTGGGAACAGGTGCTCTTGTTGTTGTTGTTGTTGTTGTTGTTGTTATTGTTTTTGTTGTTACTGGTGCTCGCGTTGTTGTAGTTGTCGTAATGGGGACTGTAACACCACGTCCGCAAGTCTTACAGCAGTTGTCCGCGTACCGGGTACCGTCGTCGTATATGTAGGCGCAGAACTGGTCTTCGCAGCCGCGGACCTTGTCGCCGTAAAGACAGCCTGTCGAGAGGTTCACATATGAAACTTCCATAACAACCAAATGTTTCTAATTGAACCTTTAATTGGATGTATATTCCAGCAATCAAGACCCTGTATACACCAACAGTAGCAATAATTAGCAATTGTGTTTCAGTTAAAAACATTTGCCGACATAATGGTTACTTTTATTTATTCTTATCCACTTACTTTGTACACCTGTGAAATGTCTCTTGCAGGAGGCACAACAGCGGCCTCTGACCACCTCCTGGTAACAGTACGGAGAGTTATCACCGGCTGTGAAGTCCTCGCAAGTCTGGCCCTCAAACGATACCCCGCTCTGGTCTCCAAATACACAATCGTCTAGAAAATAAGAGAATATATGTCTTTTACTACAATGAAGAAATATGAAATTACTTAAGACAGTGGATGAGAGAGAACTGGATTTTGGCTAGTTTTGATCTAGAAGGTCAAAGTGGTTGGATATTTTCACTTACCGTCCGCAGATGGAGCTTCAGGGGAATACTGGCACAATCCATCTATGCACCACTGAAATATGAACAAAGGTAAATGAATATTTTGATGGCAAAATCGCTTTAAAATTCATTCACAAAAAATGTATTCGTTGTCACTGTCACTTTATTTGGACTATAAGTTCTTTGCCGTTCAAGAAAGAATTACATTTGAGAGTCCGATGGCATATACTAGTATTTTTCGTTGCCAACTATATATTATTATGAGTGAATGAAGGGCTTAATCATTTCCATTTTGCTCTTTTTTTATGAAACTAGTGATGCTAATGAATACATCAGGTCATGATACATCATAAGATAAGATACTGTTGACCGAGATACACTAATACGTTCCATGTGTGTCACGTATTGTGCCTGAGGATCCACTTGACTGAAAAGTTCCTGTGTGAACGTACAGTTAGATAAGAGAAGGGGGTAGGAGTTCTCACCTTCCTATCGCCACAGGTTGTCCCCCGGGCAGCCTCGTGCTGAAAGCAGGTGCCCACGCTGGTTGGATCCAAACAGAACATGCTGGTGCACACCAGACTGTAATTACCGAACTCTGGACCCTGAAACAGACACAAAATAGACGTTCATAACCGAAGACCGCAAATACCGCAAATACCGCAAATACCGCAAAAAATAATTTTACATGGTCCTCTATGGTCCCGCAGGACCGCTTCTGTGGTCCAATGGATAGAGCTTTACCCGGAGAGCGGAAGGTCGGGGTTCAACCCCCGGTTGCGTCATACCAAAAGACGTTAAAATATGGAGCTTGCTGTTGCCCTGCCTGGCGGTCGGCATGCAGACCAAATGCATCACACAGGTTTCCGGTACTACTTAATTTATGATGATGATATTATTTGTATCATCAGTATCATTGTTGTTATTATTACCATGCAGAGTCTTGAACGGGCTCCATGGGTCATCTGACATTGCTGATCAGGGTTGTACAGTTGTCCTGGGTTCACCGAGCCTATATCCGGAACACTTTCTACAGGCAAGGCACTGGTGAGACACTGGATTCCATTTCTGAAACATAGCGATACAAACAATGGTAATGACCTCCAGTGTACAATTCCAGAAACCTGAACGGACCTTTCGTCGAAACAGTCTTGGATTTAGCGTTTCCAGACCAACTCTGACTGACTCAAAACAATTCCTGAAATAAAGAAAGATACTTACGATGTCCTGGAAAGGGATGAAATCAGAGTCCGGAAGTAATCGACTGAGCATGTGGAGAAGAACCATGGATTCCGTTCATTTTCTGTGTTAGTCTTGTATGATCCCCCAGACATGATGAAACGGTCATTTGCTTTGCAGTTGTTACCATCACCATCATGCTTAGCTCCAAGGCTGAAAGATGGAAAAAATATTTTCAGATTGCGATGGTCATCTGGTAAATAACTTCACTAAGTAAAACTATATATTTTGTTACTTTTCTATCAAATGGTTATTGGATAAATAACTTCACTAAGTAACACTATATATTTCGTTACTTTTTTTATCAAATGGTTATTGGGTAAATAACTTCACTAAGTCACACTATATATTTCGTTACTTTTTCATCAAATGGTTATCGGGTAAATAACTTCACCATAATAACACTATATATTTCGTTACTTTTATATCAAATGGTTATCGGGTAAAAAACTTCACTAAGTCACACTATATATTTTGTTACTTTTTCATCAAATGGTTATCGGGTAAATAACTTCACTAAGTAACACTATATATTTCGTTACTTTTATATCAAATGGTTATATCGGGAACATAACTTTACTAAGTAACATTATAAACTTTGTTACTTATTCATCAATAGATGAAGTGATATAGTGTGTCTAGAAAAGCCTCCGATGATTCCTACAAATACCATCACTGTAATCGGAAATAGTCTATCGGTATCTCAAATATCGTTCCGTGAACGATGAATATCCGAAGACACTCAAAAAAATTGTTTAAACGTGAACTCTCGTAATGAAAAAACAACAACATCAAACCTAACATTGAAATGAGTCCCCAGTGCATGTATGTGCTTATCGCGTCAAAAACACATGGTAATAACGGTGAAGACTCATTCAGGCCAGTTTTAGAGAACAAGTACCGCATTCATAACATAGACTTACCCGTGTCCAAGTTCATGGGCGGCAGTATCAACACACTGGAACCCTCCGACGTCTTCCACCAATGAAATACTCCTCCCGTCGCTTCTGCACATAGTCGAGATGTAAGCGAGCCCTGTAATAAAACACCAATAAAATACATTATACCATCACTCCAACAAAGATGAAAGTGTAATTAACTGTTCAGTTAACCATTCAATAATTATACTTACATATACCACCAATTTACATAATCAAAGTCGTTTATAATAACTATTGCTTTGTTAGTTTAGTCAGATCAAGGTGTAGTAATGTGTGAGGCTAATTTCTGGTGTCGCCGCCGTGATATTGCTGGAATATTGCTAAACGCGGCGTAAAACCATACTCACCCCCAATCCAGGATAACCTATCTTCAAGTCGCACTACAAGATTGTTAACGCCATAAACCTTAAGATAGGACAATGTATGAACAGGAATTATTGGGAATATTTGTCCAGGGTTTACATCCTTCGTCTGATCTGTTAAAGGCAATTGCTTACCTGAAGTGGCAGTGGATTTGGCGTTGGTGATGGAGTTGATAGTGTAAAGATCATACCTGAAAGAACAGAAATACAAGACATTGCAGAGGAGCGTCCAAATAGATTCTCAGTAAGTACTTCCTTTTATACACAATGATGCACAGTACATTTACTCCAAAGTCACCCCGGACAATAGAAATGACACAAATATATTTTTTTTCGAGTGAGTGAGTATGTTTTTACCCCGCTTTTAGCAATATTCAAGCAATATCACGGCGGGGGACACCAGAAATGGGCTTCACGCATTGTACCCATGTCGGGAATCGAACCCGGGTCTTCAGCGTGACGAGCAAACGCTTTAACCAGTAAGCTACCCGACCGCCCCCATTTTTTTTCGAATGTTACGACCTTCCAAAATATCAACTCGTTATGTCCGGCATTCGCATGTTTGGCACTGTAATCCAAGGGCAACGTCAAATATCAAAATTGACTTTAACAGATTTTACTTCTAACAATTGTACAACTAAATCCTACCCAGAGAACATCATGACGTGATCGTTTGCCGGAAGTGACGTCCTGGCGACCCAATCTCGGAGATATACAAGTACTTTGTCCGCATCAACTTCGGAACCAGAACTACCGGATATCCGGAATGATTCTGTCCATGGCGATGAAGCTGCGGTCTGAAAACAATAAACACATTACTTCATGAAAACGAGATATGAACTAAAATAAACAAATCGGTCGATTGGATACCACAACGGTAGATATAACACATACTGAAGTCAATAATATCAGATGCCAATCGAGTTATGTTCATGACGACACCCTTATTTTATCATTAATTAATCCCACATAAGTCTATACAAGATACAAGATATAGTTGGGGTGTGATACACATGTATTGTTAATTCTCATATTTGCACTGTAAGCGCTGTGCCTGGTACAAGAGACTGCTTGACCAGTAGTTGTGATGTGATACACACGTATTGATAATGATCTTATTGTGCCAACCCTCTGCCTTGGGCCAAATAACGTCTTGTATAATTATTTCCTCTACATAAAGTTCATGTCAAATATCAACACCCCACTTGTCTCTAACTTTGAAACTCAGAGGCGTACTAAGATGTTTTATGAAATGTTATATTAATTTTAGGAAATAATTACGAAATAGTGAGAATAGAATTAAAAATGACGACAATTCTCTATACTCAACGAGGAAGACATGTTTCGGGTTACTTCATGGTATGTTAACAGTTTGTTGAGTGGGTACTAAAAGCCTCGGGTCATTAAATGATATAAATAGGTTTATTGCATACCTCGGCCACATAGTAGCCCACAAGCCGAACATTAATCCGTGAGTTAAGGCCAGTTATTGACTTGAACCTCAGACTGACCTATAAGAGACGAAAATAAGCAACTATATAGCATGTAACAAAGGCATATAGTGAAAAAAGACAATATATTCAAAGAAAAGATTACAGTTTGGGCATTTTAATCAACAACAGTAAACTACGTTTATAACGAACACGCTTATAACGAACTGACGAATATAGCGAACTTATGTTTTTGTCCCGACTAATTGCTGCAGTTATGGTGTATACATATATGCATATAACGAACTACGGTTATTACGAACTAAAATTAGTGGTCCCTTTGAGTTCGTTATATCCGTAGTGTACTGTATATATCAACGAATGAATATTTATGTACAGAGATACCTCATCCTAGATTAACCCACTTTGTTCATTTTGCTTATTTAACCATTTGCAGATTTATTGAGTAAACAGCTCGTAAGTCATTAGTCAGGGGTGTGTTCAAGTGCTTAATGCTGGGACCTCTACAGAAATCCCTGTAGGCGAATAGTTTGCACGCATTCAATTGTCGACACCCTGTCTGATTTTTGCCGCCTCCAGGTCGATTAAGGTGCTGTTAGTAACAAGATAAACATCCACTTACCCCGTTCATGACGTAGGCATAGTAACGTCTTATGTTTTGCAAGGTTTCTATTTTTTTCTGAGCAGCGGTTGGCTTTGTGCTGACGCCATACCATCTGGAAAATAATATTTTGAAAATAAGTATTTTCATCTCATAATTTTCTTGCCTCTTTTAACTGAAGGTACGCTGACAAAGTTCACAATGAATATGCCAAACATGTTTTCCCAAAAAATAACCATTCCCCAATTGTGTGCAGGTTCTACCATATGAAATGAACTATCAATGTACATATTTTCAAATTGTCTTGATATACTCAAAACTCCTTCTTCTTGCTAATTTTGACTTATGTTTTTGACAAAAACACTTATATCATACAAACTACAAAGACATAAAATAGATAGTGAAAATAACGTTACTCTGAACTGAGGGACAGAAAACCAGTATATAAAACAATCCTTCAGTATGGGAGCATTTGTTCAGGACGCGGAATCTAAAACACGCTTAACAAAACTGACACCTTCTTATATTTGTTTTCAGCGTGTGTTCCTATCCATGTTTCCAGAAATAGCGACATTGTTGGTTGTGAGATTGTTTGGGGCCAAGTTTGGCGTCAAAATACTAGCCTAATTGCCGCTCTGGGTTATGTTTGTTTCTGAATGAACTTGACACATGGCCTCCATGTTCTGTTGACGTTAACGTAACTATTGACATGTTTAACGTGTGTCAATTAACCGACGTTTCTGTCAGTATGTTGGTATTTTGCTCTCTCTCGGAATAACACATCTTCTGTTACTACAAAAATGCACCTTGAACATGCTTTTCGTTTTTACACGAAAATGATCATCTGTACTTGTACTGGTAGTGGTACTATACGGAGTACGTAATTCTTAAACGTGTGAAAGATTCATTGCATCAATACTTCATATTTAGAGAAACTGTTCATAGTTAAGTCTTTGAAAGGCATTTAAAGTGATACACATTAGGACGCGATTGAAGGAGTAAGCATATGCTCCGAAACGTTGTGCTCCTCATAATAAAGAAGTTGACATCCATAAATTCTCTTCCTTATTCATAGTTACTTCAATAGTTTCAAATAATAAGATAAAATAAGATATTTTTATCCATAAATACTTCCAAACATCAATATGCAAAAATATGGTAAATATAACTAATACAAATCTTTAATAATATTGACGTAAATTCATGGTCTATTGACCACACACAAGCACTGGAGGTCAGTAACCTTAGACAGAAAGTCAACAAGGTACAACGACACAGGTACGCCAACCTGGACTAGATTAGCAGGTGTTAACTATCATTTACCCGCCGGCGTTTCCGTAAACCCCCAACATCTACTAAACCCACCTTTCATAAACGCCGTAGTCTACAAGAGCAAGGACATCAATATAATACTGTGAAACTTGACGTTTTTGCCTGTCGAGGGGGGCATCTTTCAGCGGTACATATTGTGAAGAATGGCGTTTATGTCTAGTAATGGTGGCATCCTTGAGAGGAAGCACTTGATGAGTTTCTTTGATGGTACGTAGGGGATCCTCGGCCGCTGGAAATATGAATAAAATTATCATTAACTTGAAGTATGTGTCTCGTAAACAAAACATGTGATGGGAGTATGCACAACGGAATGTAGTATGTGTGATGGTACCTTTCTACTTATTGTTCACAAGGGTTAACCTACTTTAAGTATGACACTGTCCATTACAGTTTCCGTTTATTAACACAAGGAGGACGGTAATGTATGTCCTTTGTAAAACATGGGGTCAAAATGATTTATATATTAACACCATGTATACACGACATATAAAAAAGCACGTTGATGTTGTTTCAAGCTTATATTGCACATTTATACATTATTATGCGTTTACTAATGTAAAGGTCATTAAGGTAACATCAACCCAAGACTTCCATATCAGCCCGAGGGTCGAAGACCAGAGGACTGACATGGGGGTCGAGAGTTGATTTGGGGTACGACATAAAAAATGCTACATATTACCTTTTCGTCTCATACAATAACATCAAATTGTAACATTATCCATTTGCAAGTGAATGCAATAGTTTCACCTTATTTGAAAGACATTGTCACGGGAGAGCTGGTCGAACTGACGACGCACTAAGGACGTAACTCCAATTTCTTACACCCGGTCTGTATCGATCGCCCATTAAAATGCATTGACAAGCCATATCAGCCCAGCAGGGGGTGTAATACGGGTCTGGTTATTACACCCCTTGTGATATGACCGTCTCTATGTTCGCTCTATCGCACATGCAAAATGCCTTATATCATTGATAGGTATCTGGTTATAGGCAACTATTCGCGTAACAAACAGAGAATCGTGATTGAATTAAACATATATATAAAGCACGTATGCTTCAGCCCTTTAAGATCGTCTAGTCTGTATATAGTCTGATATATAAATACAAGCTAATTGCAAGGCCAGTTGGTTGGTTGAATACACCATTCAAATGTATAGATGAATGTATGTATGCTTAAAGGGAGTGGATAGTAAAGTAGATTTATCCATACATGCATGTAATCATTACATCAGACATGAAGACATGTAGCCAATACAGGTGGATATTGAGTCACACGTATTATCCACAAGTAGCGAATCGAGACCAAGCCTAGGGATAGTCTTATCTCGTATCTCGTCAAATATCCCTGACACACGTGCCTTTTAATATATAGGGGAAAGAGGCTATGTTCCCGAAGTGTTTCCTTTAACTCAAATGCTTAACAGATGCTTGCGAAGGTTTACATTCCACGTTCTCGTCATCAACTTCCTATTTCTTGGTCCTCGTTTCCCGCAAGTCACATGTATACCCTAGAGGAAGAGTCATCAACCGTTACGTGAAATCCCCAGGGGCCATGTGGTGCTACAGTTTAAGCATGTTCCCACGTTTTTCTCAAGAAACTATTTTTAATACAAATGGATAGTGAAACTAGAATAACACCACTAATAGCAATGATGATGATGATGATGATGATGATGATAATAATAGCAACAACAACAATAACAACAACAACAACAACAATAATAATAATAACGTGAGTGCGTACTTGGAGGTGCCTCTCTGTAATCATTTGCTGTGACTGGTGCAACATCTTCAGTAATTTCGTATTCTTCTGGATCACTTGTTGAATTTGTATCTCGGCGCTGCCTCTTTGGTCTCTCTATAATATATAGTTTCCGGTCCACTGTGATTGAACCATGCTGAAATAACAAAAAGGATATTGATCATGAGGGCTTTGCAGCTGAAATTTGTTTTTCATCACTGTACCAAATATATAGTTACCACACTACCTTCTCGTAAGTACATACGACCTCTACACCAACGCGATCAATATATGATATTGCTTCATCAATATCTGCAATGCTTGTCTTCTCTCATTCTATATATACTTACCACTGATATCTAAAAGTTAGCACATGCAAGTATATGATTCATGAGCATTTTGGGCCAATATGAGTGAGTGAGTGAGAATGGTTTTAAGCAGCTTTTAGCAATATTTCACCAATATCACTTCCGAGGACACAAGAAAAGGGCTTTACACATTGTTCCAATGTGGGGAATCGAACCCGGGTCTTCGGCGAGACGAGCGAACGCTTAAACCACTAGGCTACCCCACCGCCCCCGGGCCAATATGAACTAAGGAAAAATAATGTAAATAGGAAATGGGAAGACGTGATTTTGATTTGTACGTGAACACTCCTCTTTTTGGTCTGAATGGTGTGACTACCTACCACTGATACATCTACTCCTTGGTTTTCCAGCATCTGACAGTCAACTGTCATGGCCGCTTTTTGCACCTCATCTTGGTATTCTGCGCTATCCTGAAAATAGATAAAATTGTTAAAGCATATAATGCATTTGGTGTAAAATATTAAACGTTGTTTACAAAACTTAAAGTACTCGAATATTATGAGATGTTGCACAAGAACACATTACGGTGTGCATTACACATATATGTATATAGTTTTACGTCTATTCATAAATATGTGTTTCATATAGATAAAAAATTAACAAAAATTCCTTGGTGGTACACCAAGGTATTCATTAAAGTTGATTTTTTTATATTGGATTTCACATTTGTATGACATCGTTTCAGTTTCTAGAGGAACTCAAATAATTCTATGCAGGGAGTGGTAGAACCATTTTATTACTTAGTTTGGCCCAAAACACCCTACCTACAGTCATTAAAACTTATCAAGAAGTCATATTTTGATGTGCCATAACTGATATGTTGCCTCAGGAGATACTTAAAATATACTTCGTTGAAGTGGGCAAAAAAGGAGCACAAACGTTTTATATTTATATATGGCTTGTACAAGTATCCATTCCAGTTTATTTAGTTATTGTTTATGCAAAAACTAGAAGCAACTCAACTGATAACAGATTATCAATTCCTATTCAAAATGCATGCTGTCGGTTTGATTCGTGTCTCATATATCAATGCAAAAAACATGATATAAATCAATAGCATATGCAGCATATATGTCGAATACCTGATGTGATTGAGTGCATTTTGGAATGCAATGCCGAAACCCGATCCCTAAGGATATCTATTGATCATCTTTTAAATATACATATCAAGATCAGTACGTTTAGAATGCTTGCAGGATGCATATGTTGTGGAAAATTTCAATGTACAAAACCATATATAAACAGATTTATAATTAAATATGGAGTTAACACTTTTAAACTTGCTACACTTCAACGTAGATAAACAGGGAATGATTGCTTACGGAATAATATCCTAGAGTAGGAAATCAGTGTATATGTCTTAAAAGGGATAACAGAATGTCATCTTTACAACAGTATTCTTGGGCATACAAAAATCCCGTTACGCCATCAGGAAACTGCACATTGACAATTAATTCCACGTAGAATTTTGTTTGTTTGTTTGTTTCTTGTTTAACGTCGCACTCAGCAATGTTCCAGCCATACGACGGCGGTCTGTAAATAATCGAGTCTGGATCAGACAATCCAATGATAGACATCATGAGCATAGAACTAATGCAATTGGGATACGATGACACGCTTTAACCAAGTCAGCGAGCCTGACCACCGGATCCCGTTGGTCGCCTCTTACGACAAGCTTGAGTTGCTGAACACCAATTCTAACCCGGATCTTTAAGGGTATATTCCACGTAGAAAAAAACCACGTTGATTACCTAAGGAATCAATTGTGCTGAAAATATATTTTTAGTTGATCTGGAACCGTTCATCATTTCCAACTCACCGATATGTCGAGAAGGATTTCCTTCTTCACCTCATCATCTCGAAACAGACTTGTCGTGTATAGCGGAACATTTATATCAATATCGGCATTCTTGGTGAGTGTTAGAGGTAAGGAATGGCCATCTGTTGTTACTGTGATATATATGGTCCTAGGTAACTTGCACTCGCTGATTTCGGTCAGTGTTGTGTCGGACACCTGCACATAGGCTGCAAGGAAAAGATTAAAGATGTTACAAGTTTGTTTGTTTTAACATTATTTTAATAATAACTATATGATGGTGGCCCGTACCTAATCGAGTCTGAACCAGACAATCCAGTGATGGACATCATGAGCATCGATCCACGCAATTAGAATAGGTTTACATCAACCAAATCAGCGACCCTGACCTCCACCCCATCCCAACTCCTCCCAATATCAAACGGTCGGTCCCTAACAGTCAAACATTAAGCTGAGTCATTATTTAATAACAAGACACATGACACGACAGAGACTGGGTCAACTGAAATGTAAATAAAACGTCTTATTTGAAAGAGTTCGTGTCTATTATTTAACAGTGCAGTATAAGTTCACGAAAATCAAACATGCATACATAATGGCTTCACTGAACAACTGCCAAAACGAAGCACGCAGTGTACACATCACGCACTTTGGAAACACTGTACGATTATGATAAGATGTGTGTATAAAGCTGTTAAATACGTAGATGTGTTCCACTTAAGATATGTGCGTGAGATATCTAAATCATAAGGAACTTTGTCCAGCAATGGCCTTGTACTGTATTGCTTCACACAGTTCTTATATATCCAATGTCATGGCATTGATTCCATCATGAACCTGCTATTCCCGTGACGTATGAACAAAACAAAACAATGCACATAACAGTAAATTTATATAAACAACCTGTATCCAAGATCTTTAAGTGCATGGCACATACTTTCTTGATACTAGCACCTGTAACACTATACATAAACTGTTTGCGTGGCTTTCTAGACGTTTGTGAGTATAATATTAAAAGAAAACGTACAACGTTATGTACAGTAAAGAATCTTTTAACGCAAAATTGTATGCAGAAAACTTTGGGACGTCAGTTAACTTCAGTTATTTTTACCCCATGATGTCAATATATGATTTAAGATATGGCTACGAGACAGAGCCTGGGGTACATTGACATAAAGGTCTATATAACTGGTATTCCACAAAGAGTCTATGGTATGAATCTGTGGTGGAGGAATTTATTTCCAAATGATTCAGTACATTTGGAAAGTTGTACTGCCAGTCTTGAATGATGACTGCCTCATAAAATGGCAATAAGTTGCTAGTTTCCTGTCTGAAGAGTCAGTATTATTTTCACCTGTGTGGTGATTACAGGTAATATTGTCATAAAATTACCAGAGACAGGACTGTGTTTTAAAGTTCGAATTCATATCAGACAGCGGGAAAACAACATGAATCCTAACTGTATTTCTTTGAATAATATAAGAGGAATCCTTTCATAGGAAGAATCAAAGGATCCTTGTTTCTATTTCTATTTATAGTATCATAAGGCAATGCATGATGAGCAAAGGTATTGCGGAATATTTCTCCAAAGATTGTGACTGTCAAAAAAGTAAAATATTTGATATCGTTGTAAAATATTAATTTCTTTGAACAAACTAAAACAGAATTTGTTGATTTCTCGACAAGTTATGTTTGCCATTTACAATAAAAACAAGTAGTTGAATAATATTTTCTTTAATTACCAGACTCAAATGATGTATTGTTTCAGAACAAACATACTTGCCATAGAACAAATATCCTCAATTTTCACAAGTCACTATGTTTTAAATACGAAAATCGAGCCTAATTTCATTATATTCACGTTAGAAAATACCCAGTTCGTATATTTTGTCTCTAGATCACCTGGATCAAGTTTAATTGTCAATTCCAACCTGCCCCTCCGCCTATGGTAAATACAACAATCCTAGTCACCCCATACCAGGCTCACAGAGCGACCCCAAGCCTAGACTGTACCTGCAAATTGCTGTTTGCACATTCGAGGTAATTAAATCGCGAGGTAGGTTAATGAATACCTTAAGCGGACTGTATGTCCCAGGTCTGACCATCGCCTGACCACTAAATCCGTGGTCATGTGTAACGTTTACACCTGTGCGTCCTGCTTCAAGGAGGTGGCAGAAATACTGCATGGTAGCGTTTTGTGCATACGAGTAAAGTGAAAAGGCTTAAAGGCTTAAAGGGAAAGGTTACTTTGTCAGAGTTCCGAATGATTGTAGTTGTGAGAATTTGGGATCTTGACATTTGGAAGTGCCTTTGGTGTTTCTCTGGTGAAGAGCGAGTGAGTTTTAGAAACTTCTACTGGTAATCTACTTATATATGAATAGACACGTGTTATGCTGTAGTCACTCTTTAAATGTCTCTATGATGTCAAGTTTCATATCTAATGGTTTGATTTGGTTCGTTTATTGTTTAACGCCACACTCAGCAGTATTCCAGCTATATGGTGGCGGTCTGTAAATAATCCAGTCTGGACAAGACAATCAAGTGATTGACATCATGAGCATCGATCCACGAATTTGGAATACGATGACATGCATCAACCAAGTCAGCCAGCCTCACCACCCGATCCCGTTAGTCGCCTCTTACGACAAGCATAGTCGCCTTCATATCTAATGCCAATCCTTTTACTCGTATAACTGACACTCATCTTGAAATGGAATTATCCAGACTGATTACTCTCTGGCGTTGGCGTTGTGTATTACATGTTGTGTTGGCTGATTCATAACATGATATTATCACTAGGAAATGACACTACAATGAGTATCGACCAATAGGCATGTATTGTTGCTAAACTATTTATATTTAATCTTCAAGTAAAACAGACCCGTGAAGATTCCGGGGTAGAATAGGTCTTAAGCAACCCATGCTTGCCGTAAAAGGCGACTAACGGGATCGGGTGGTCAGGCTCGCTGACTTGGTTGATACATGTCATCGATCCCAATTGCGTTGATCGATGCTCATGATGTCAATCACTTGATTGTCTGGTCCAGACTGGATTATTTACAGACCGCCACCATATAGCTGGAATATTGCTGAGTGCGGCGTTAAACAACAAACAAACAAACAACAATGAAGTAAAACAGCAGACAATCCCACCCAACATCGGGTTTAAACTTTGTAACTAAAGAATGTTATTAAGATGTTAAGCCATCGCTTTGTCTTCCATGTTCGTGTAACCCCACGACATGTGACACAATGTGGGTTTCAGGAACTCAGTCCCCACCCAAGCCGCCCTCACGTGTCACATCCTACATCAGCAGCCCTTCAGGATATGAGACATCCGTTTTTTTCAGTACGAAATGTTTAAGGGGCTTGTTCATCACATGATGGTGACGGATGCTAATGTCTTCCAGCAACAAAACTGATTTATGAGACCGTTAAACAGAACACATCACAAGTGTCCATCATGAGAAACAAGAAGCTGTAGTGTATCGCCTTCACGCTGCGGGTGTGAGAAATTGCAGCGTTTTCATTTCGTTATGTCTGAAATGTCCCTCACGTCATGAACAAGGAGCTTTATAATAGACAAAGCTTGAATAATACATCGGTGGTGTATACGAATGGCTAAGTTTAAACTTGCGTGTCCATTAAGTTCACTTTCAGGACCATCTGCAATTAATTATCGAGCAGTTTCAAAGCAGAATTACACAAACTGCTAACACGAGTATAATCACATAAATACTTCGAACGAGATGTCATTTCAGGGGACTTAGCATTATACGTGCATCAGTAGGGAACACAACTTTGACCCTATTATTTGCCAATATCGTTTGACAGGTGCCCCATCACTGACGCATACACATCGATCTACTAGTAATTGCTTTTGGTATCGGGGCGTTGACGTATTAGTAATTTATAAAATGGAGCCATATAATGTATGACAATACAGAATTTTTCACAGGTGTTTTAGTATAACATTCGTTTGAGTAAATCAGTGCCTGTGCCGTAGTGGATGTCTTTAACGATCAAAATATGAACAAAACATCTATCAAAGCTTCATGGTTAATAGTCGTGGAGGACGAATCTTACGAATAGTGATTCTTACACATTCATATGACAAATACCCCTTCCTTTCTACAATAAGCGAACGGTGTAAAGCTGCATGAAAATCCGTATGACTAACGGTGCACCACAGCATGACTAACGTGCATTCAGCCAACTGAGCTATCTTATATCGTGGTCCGCCCGGCTATGTGGGACGATACTGATGGTAATTAGGTTATTGCGAAAGATTGTTTACGGAGGTGTTGCATTGTCCTTATATGAACATCAGTTTTAACTTAGGAAGGAAAAAATATCATCCTGGTAAACTTTTTCATGACGAAGTTTTAAAATCCCACGCATAATTATGATAACAGATTCATTCACACGTGATTTATTCTTATCATAACCGTTTACGAAAAGTTATACCATGTTGGGTCAGTTGGGAGGATATGAAACGCTTATATATCTCACGTGAACATTTACAATAAACTACATTCACGTGATGCATGTACATATATGAGTGAAAGAGATAGTGTTTGATATCAGGCAATCAGATGTACATTGAAATCAACATTACGACACGATGACGTGTTAGTCATTTATATTACGTTATATGAACGAGACTTTAATAGTGATATTTTATAAGTACAGTTAACTACGGTTATAACGAACTCGAAGGGATCATTAATTTTAGTACGTAATAACCGTAGTTCGTTATAGGCATATATACAGCATTTATACAACAAATGGTCGGGACTAAAAAATCAGTTCGTTATATCGGTCAGTTCGTTATAAACGTGTTCGTTATAAACGTAGTTTACTGTATCCACTTTTGATGGATTGTATTCAGATACAGTTGTCTACCTCTTCATTGTATCAGAGTGTAGACGTGTCTCCCTGAATGCATCATGCGGAAAAAGGGATGAGGGAAAAAATGAGAGGAAGAAAGGAGAAAGAAAGAAGGACGCATGATAGAATGAAAGGCCGAAAGAAAGAAAGGAACATTTATTTATATAACAAAAAACTACAGAAATGAATGTACGTAACGGACATTTATGGATATTTAACAGCCGTAACGACCTATCTATAATGACACCTCGTCGCACTGACGGTATTACATAATAAGTGTTAGCTACATTAGTTTCCGTTCCCCTTAGGTAATGTCTTTATCTTGTTCACGCTTGCATGCTCACTAGGGTTGAGAACGAGCCAGGAGATAAATAACAGGTCCTAAACAACGTCCTTCATTTTGGAGTATATTCATCTTATTATGTGAGAACTACGTTTACGAGCACAACTACTCGTCATGGCGAGTGTAAATAACGTTTTACATGAACAGGTATGAGACAAGGCTGTCTAACCATATGGAATGTTAACATGGCCGGGGAGGAATCTTTTCACATAAATGACAGGAAGCTGTTTCCTTTTAAGCAGTTTATGATAACATATTATGGATTTTTATTGTTTTTAATAAACTATCATATGGCATAATTATTTCCTTGACATTATTCCATAATCATGTCATTGTTTAGGGTGCGATGTCCTCATGCGAAAATTTGTGTGGCACTTTTACTACTTCCTATGATTCAAAAATCACCTGAGATATATTTTTTTTATAAATGCTCATTTTCTATTTCAATCGAGTTCACAAAATGTAATAAAAGCGACAGAATGTAAAATCAGTTTCAGAACATGTACTGTACATTTGTGTTGTGAACTCAGGTCATCTACGTTCATTAAAAACATGCAACAAACCGCTGTGACTCTGATCATATCGACTTCTAACGAAATTGTTATACAGTAAACTACGGTTATAACGTACTCAAAGGGACCTTATTTTAGTTCGTTATAACCGTAGTTCGTTATAAGCATATATACAGCATATGTACAACAAATGGCCGGGACTAAAAATAAGTTCGTTATATCGGTCAGTTCGTTATAAGCGTGTTCGTTATAACCGTAGTTTACTGTACATTTGGTTCACGATGTCACACTGGACACATCAGTTTGAGCGTTGCGCAACCATCCCATCCTTACAAACACATTACGTGATGATGATTGACATATTGACAGGTAGTGTTTTTGCCGTCTAGGGTTAATTGATTTTCTGGACGCTGCGTTTCCTGGTCAGGTTCTCAGGTGAGTATGCCTTGACCTTAGATGAAAGGTTGCCCGTCACAAGACCATGGTCAGTCGAGGTCAAGAGTCCTCGAAATTTACTTCCTTATGAAGCGAAAGAAGAGTTCACATTTTGATCAAAATCCTATCAACATTTTAATATTTAAACTTCGGTGGACTTCTTTATACATTCTGGTACATTCAATTTCTTACAAACATTAACACATTTTACAAATGTGGTTGTTGATTTTATGTGTATAAAATTACGTAATTATAGTTAGCAATCAGCTCAGGTATACCGATAAACAAACACATGGTCTGCCATTATCTATACAGTGACCAGGTGTTGACATAGGGGCTGTGTAATACGTAGAAATGTGCAGTCACGTTGGAATCTGAAGGTAAATCTACTACACTGACAATAGACATGGACTAGACCCATAAAAGCTTGTTTATCTTCAAACATGAAAATATGAGCTAATCTGAACTGTGGATATACGAAAGTAAAGGAAGCATTAGTTTAGCCGGGTTCACTACATGTTTGCTATCTCAACTATACTTAAAATTTCCGAGGTTAGACGAGAAACTTGTTATACACCTTAATGGTGTCCCACACATGAATATATATGAGTCGCAAGGAAAACATTTAACACTTTTGGATATAAACGCACTGAATATTATTCAGGTATTATATTGTTGACGGCTCTAATACCACGATGTACTCTGAATAATATCGGATATGGATTACAAGGTTCAAAACACAAATTGAATCCAAAAATATATCTCGCCCGCATATATATATCCAAGTCCCTGATAAATAATGACTCACATTCAATACAATAAAGACGAATACTTATTCAATAATGAGGCTTTACTGGACGGTCATTTTAACCTAAGTGTGCGCCCAAGGCAGCCCCATTGAACTGCTTCGTGAATAGGTTGACCTCTTTCACAGTTACCTACAGGCATAGCGTACATACACCTGCCCTCAGTTACCGCTCAAGGGGATACATGGTCGGTCAAAGCGATAAGTAAATGGGACAGAAGATTCCGGTCACAAATGCGTGTTTAACGCCTGGTTTCATCACTGATTTTCAGTACTCCATTCATAGAATTTCTACAGATATTTGGCCCTTTACGCCAATGGAATCTGTTTGGGCAGAACATCTAGGCTGGTTAATCTTTTGCATTGACAATTTATTTCTCATCGTCATTCGCTTGCTAGCATGGTTATTCCGGTTCTTTAACGATTATTTCTTTTCTTACGTCACATTTAGAATATAAAGACGTTAGGGTTAGTAGATTTGGCTGTAACGAAGTTGGATATAATAAACGTCGTTAAAACCAAAACGTGTAAACAGAACAAATGTATGACATTGAACATAATTAATGTGTCAATCGACATTCAACAATCGAACATGCCTGAGTGATTTGGGTGGGGTTGAATTAAAACTTTAATCGGCCTACAACATTGTGGCTGTTTGCTGATGGGGCGGTCGGGTAGCCTAGTGGTTAAAGCGTTAGCTCGTCACGCCGAAGACCCGGGTTCGATTCCCGATATGGGTACAATGTGTGAAGCCCATTTCTGGTGTCCCCCGCCGTGATATTGCTGGAATATTGCTAAAAGCGGCGTAAAACCAAACTCACTCACTCACTGTTTGCTGATAACGACTTCGTGACAGAGAAGGGTGTAAATAACGTACTTTTACCAGCTATTTGATCATATATTGGGGGCGGTCGGTAAGCCTAGTTGCTAAAGCGTTCGCTCGTCACGCCGAAGACCCGGGTTCGATTCCCGACATGGGTGCAATGTGTGAAGACCATTTCTGGTGCCCCCGCCGTGGTATTGCTGGAATATTTCTAAAAGCGGCGTAACACCATACTCACTCTTTCATTTGATCATGTATTAATAGAACCTACTATTTCCTGATCGGGCGTGAAGGACGGATTTATCGAACTATGACACATCATAACAATGGACATTGTTGTTGCCTGGTATACCTATAACAAGGCTTATCGTTGTGTAAAAGGCCGCAGTCATTGGTTGTATATGTAATTGCTGGTGGGATCAGTACAGCAGGTGCGCTGCGTGAGTTTACTTGTCACAGTTATAACGTTATCTACCTGTCAAAAACATATTATTTGCTTTTAAACGTGTGATTCATTGTAAATACATGTACTGTATAAGACCTTTACAACACGAAACTGCTCCATACGCGCTTCAGGTTCAGAGCATCATAATGAACCACACGACGGTCAACGGTTAACGGTTACACGATTGTTTATAACACGATGGCTAGGATTTGACTAGAACAGAACGTGGGGGGATCCTAGACACGTATCCATAGTAACAGGAAACTTGAAATGGGCGTTACGTAACATCTTGGGGACAAAGATAATAATAACACCAATTAACATTCGTTTGTTGTTATAGTCGCCATGATACAGTTTACTCGGGCCCAGTACTTTATTGATTAACAAGCGCGTCTTGAAACGAACGAGATGACTGCAGCAGCTGTTTCTGTGCTATGTGAATGGGATATATCAGGTTGAATACATTCTACGTTTTTGGGATGTAAATAACAGTTTTGAAATATACATGAATTTGCCATTTTCTGGTATTTGAAATCCTTTGAATATTGGAAATGATTTCAAGCCCATTCTTATAATAACAATGCCATAATCGTTTCATGTGTTGGGTTATGTGTTAAATATTATGTCTAATGGGAATCTGGTCAGAACATATCACTTTCACTCATATTGTACAAACACTCTGACTGACGATGACACAGCGTCTCATTTTAAATACATTATTTAAAATAAGTTAAGAAACATATCGAAATTAAAACCATACAGCATTACAATGCAAATGTGTAAATATAAATGGTTACAAACAGATTTAAATTGTCATAAAAGTTACCAAAACATAACATTTGTTGATAATATGAATTATGAAAATATGTAAAATCCTTACCTTTGTTGCTCGAAACTAAATACACACACACCGAGAGGACAAAGTAACGTATAAATGTCCGCATGGTCAAAGTCTTTGTTGGCGTTTCTTAAACAAACAGTCTTTTTCTCTCTGATTCCAAGTTTGAACTGACTGTCCTCGTTCTCAGCAGATTTTATATACACGCAGCCTATACACAAAACCTCCTCGTGATTCCTACCATGTATTATTAGCGAAGCACGTCATACCGACATTTCCATACGAAGATTGTTTGTGATTGGGGGACTATGAAATCAGTCATGCTCCAGTGACCCTACCCGCTTCACATACCCCGGTCCTGTTTCCTCTGCGCGCGCTAAGCTCTTGACTCGAGGGTCCAGTCACACACACACGTCCGCTCTGACTGAGCGCTCCTGTGATGACGCAGCGATTCACCTGGTGAAGCCGAACGCTTAGTCAACTGCGGCTTTCTAGCGTCGAGCTTTGAAGCGTTTGTGAGTTTTGAAACTCGATGCTGTTCTAAGTGTCACGCTGACTTTTACCTTACATCCACCAAGTTCATATATTGAGTATGAACAGGTTTCATATATTATATTTATTTAGTATAGTATTATTAGATATGAATATCCAGGGAAATGCTGTACGGTTTGTTTACATATGTTTATCACGATCGATGGATGGTAGAACTGTTCTACCTGATGGGTGAATCTGTATTTATACTTGTATCGATCTTCGTTAAAGAATCAGGTTGTGTTGATCAAACTGATGCTTATTCTTGACCGAGTGTTACCTAGGACGTTACTGATCGATTGTCGGACGCAGGCGTCACAGCTGATGGGCCATCTATACCTGTGGATCGATTGATTTCCTTGAGGACAAAACCTCTAGCCATATTAACGAGAATTTCCTCAGCGGTATTGACTGTCTGATAAATAAGTAGTTAGTCTGGCCCGACAATTTACAGTCCGCCGTCATACAGCTTGAATATTGTTGAGTGTGGCGTTAAACAACAAGAAACACACAAAACAGCCCGGTGCCCAGTTTCAATCTTTCTCTAGGAGTGACATGTGTCAAACCTAGACGTTGCTTATGAATATTTACAGCATTCATTAACCACTATATTGAGGACCAGATAATACAATTTGAGTTTTAAGACACCAACACGTTTTTAAATGACTCCAATCCTTTCTCCTTAAGATGAAAACCGGGTGTCAGCGTCGGGAAGATTATACGCAAACTACATTTCGCGATATAAAGTCCCTCTTTTCCCCCAAACCCGTTATCACGAACCAAAGCGTGCCTTGATATGTACGTACATGTACCACCCGTTTCCCTGTCATATGTTCAAGTAGAAATACGCTAATTCACGGGAATGGGATGACAAATGGTTTCTTTATATAAGACCATTCATCATTATTTATTCGTCAAGTTCATTTCACAGAAAATATATTTGTTTTCATTAGTTTATGATAATCGTATCAAACTCAAATTGGACATACTACTGTTGGTAATGTTGGAATAGATAGAAAACATTTTCGGTTTCTGCACAGAGACACGTGTGTGGGGAGTTCAGAATGGTTCCCCGGTACCCATGCATATTATAGAAGTCGTGTAAATATAACACGTCATATATTAACGCCAGAGAATAACCAGTCTTGATTATCTGCCGAAACAGATTCCACTGGGCGTGAAAGACAAACAGCGGTGAAGACGATGTGAATGGATCACTGAAAATCAGTGATGACACCAGGTGTTCGCGAAATGAGTGAGCATATCCTGTCCGTTAGTTCCCTCCACTCACACAATTTGCATAAAAAACGCAAGTGTTTGTATGTTTGTTTTTTGCATGACACAACACAGCAGTACTCCTGCCATACGGTGTCGGCCTGTAAACAATCAAGTGATAGACCAACAACCCAGTGACAAAAAGGGGTTGACTGATCCAAATTACTGCTGGGCATGGTTAAGACAATAACAGGAAGAGTCAACGCTGAACGGAACAGTTTATTGTGTGACATTGCTATCAGAATAAAAGCGAGACATCCATCTTAATAAACAGTGTTCATGGTACAAATCCGACTAGACACCGACTGTATTTGTTCTCAATATCAACCACTAGTTTTCAAGTCTGAGATCCGATAACTGCGCTAAAAATGCTGTACTGTGATTACGACATAAATTCCCAGAAACTCACGTATTCTATAATGGACTGGAGGTTAACATCGATTCTAAAATGTATATTAGATCGTTTCGATTTTGATGACGATCGACGATTTATTTAAAGTCGGATTAATAAAAATCAGCGTGTGACGTAGTGCTGGTCACGACGCCAGATGTGATCGTGTAACAGATTGCTGTAATTAACCATGCCAAAGAAATGCTACAAATCTAGTTTCGAGAATAACTATAGCCAGTTTTCTGACCCAAAAAGCTAGTTTTTCATCTAAAGTGAGTCAATAGAGTAACAGAAAATAGGCTTTTGCTCGCCGTTTTCGGTCTGTCATCAATTCGCGGGGGACACACGCTCTGTTTCATGTTGAATTTATTGCGCATAGTTTGTAGATAGTGGACGTGTCAGCGTTGTACCTCGCAAGTTCATTTCGATATTTTTTAAGATTTTCATCAATACGCGAATAAAGCTTCCTTTTCGTGAAACAGGTTGTAATGAAATATAATAACGTTGCTGGTGAGCTGATGGGATATTATCTGAAAAAAGTTTTTTTTTTCAAGAAATGCACCAAGACCATAATTATGCTTGTTGAAGAAATGTTGAAATTGTCTGCGACAAAAATACATTGCTGCAAGATGTTTTTTAATTGTTTTTTTATTTAGGCTTATAGTTTTTATTATGTATTTACTAAGTTCTAACTTTTCTAAGTACCACCAAAAAGCTAATTATTATGTGATATAATATTATGTCATCTAGTTTTATTGTTACGTTATGTTTGTTTTGTTCATGGTATGTTCTCTGTACCACTGGTTTTCGAGATATGAAGTTTTTTATACTGATAGAAACGTTTATACTTAAACGATATTACTCCTACTATTTAGTCTTAGAAATACGTTAACCGAGCGACTCGACAGGTTACCGCCCAGATTAACACAGATCATATTGAAGTAGATTCCCCATCACTCTTCGTATAGAATGTCGTCACGATATGGCTGAAATATTGCCGATGTGACGTAAAGCTTTAACTCACTCACTCGTATAGAATGACTGTATTGACACAAGTATATGTCGTGATACTGACTAGGTCGACATGATCTCCAGTACTTCACGGTCTTTTAAACGTATTATCACTCATATCCTATTGGATTGTGACGACACAACATTAACACACACTAATAGCGTTGCGTTATTGAAATGCTTAATAGCTAGTTCTTGGAAAATCACTGCTATCGTTAAAGCTCTTTTCTGTTTGGGGGAAACAGTTCACAGAGTGCTTTGAATTAAATTAAACTTCCAAAGCCCATGTGGTATAACTTGTCTTAATAGAGTATGTGTGGACGATAAAATTTGAGTGAGTGAGTATGATTTTTCGCTGCTTTTAACAATGTCAGCAATATTACGGCTGGCGACACCAGAAATTGGCTTCACCCATTGTACTCATATGTTGGGAATCGATCCCGGGTCTTCGGCGTGACGAGCAAACGCACTAACCACAGAGCTGACCCACCGCCTCGATGACACTGGAGTAGGACAAGGCTGTCGTACTTCTCTATCTTTATTTATGCTGTTTTCTGATTCCTACTTTAAACATAAATTTCAAAAAATGAAAAGCTGTGTACATTTCTGGTTACAAATATTTTGTTCTTTTTCACAACCATGTGTTGTTTCCTATTATTCCGATCAGGTTCCCGCCCACATTACATACACACCTTGAAACATGTGGTCATAAAGCAAATCTGTTGTCTGTCATGCCACCCCGCCATGTGCATACGACACCTTCTCTCTAAATTGACATCATACGTTATTGTGTTTACCATATAAACTTGTTATGGATAAAATCTGGGTCAATCGTATACATGCAACCACTTGTAGATTTCCTGAATGATCAAGTCATGTGACCTAATTACGAGTTTCTATGACGATCCCAGCTAGGTCAAAGTTACACAACTACGTTTGTGTTAGTGCGTAATTTGGATGAACAGGGATGAGACATCAGCCAATGACGTTTAGGTCATAATTATTGAATACAATCTCAAAGGCGCAAAAACCATTTAGTCAAGTGTATTGTGTTTGGTAACACGTATTGGCAATTTTGAAAAACTGACTCAAGTTATTTATGTGACTGTGTGCATATGTTTCAGACGTTAAGGCATTATTACTATTATCTTAAGTGGACTAGTGTGTTTTAACGTCACTGTGAACAGTATTTCATACATATAGCTATATGCAGGTCTTTTACGTTTATATATATAGGGGTACGGGTGGCCCAGTCGTCTAAGGCGCCGCGATTCGATGTGCAAAGTTGCCTCCCTTGGGCATGCCAGAAACCTATGATTGTGGGTTCGAATCCCGCTTCGCCCCGATTATGTTTCTAGGTTTGTCAGCACCATACCCGTGCTCGTGGGTTTCACCGAAGTGGTAAACGTCTGAGACCTGCATCACTTCGGGCTTTCCTCCCATATTAAGCTGACACGCCGTGATATAACTGGAATACTGTTAAAAGCGGCGTCAAACCCAACTCAGTCAGTCACTCACTTTCACGTTTATAATTACCACTTTGGTTACATATTTGAGTGAGTGAGTATGATTTTGAGCCACTGTTAGCAGTAGTTCAGCAATATCACGGCGAGGGAAATGGGCTTAACATATTGCACCCATGTGGGGAATGGCACCTGGATTTTCGGCGTCGAGAGCGAATGCTCTAACTACGTGGCTATCCCATTGTCCAGGTACACATTTGACCAGTGGTGTGGTAGTGATACACCACCAATCATAAGCAGGTCAAATATTGGATTCGAACTCACACTTTGTGTAGTCTGGTGCACATTACACGAATTGTCCAGCAACAGTTTGAGAATTTAATACAGGATCTGCGGACTGACTTTTTGTTCCGATGAGAACCTTCGTGTCGTTTTGTAAAGTCACGCTCAAACATGCCTTATACAATCACGTCACAGCAGTTGTGTGTCACCAGCGTGATATATATAGGCATACTTTTTAATGAATACAATAGAACACGTGATCCAGTATACACTATTCTTTGAAAATACGATAGTATAATACATTTTTATTCTTGATGATTTGGAAATAAGAAGGGTGTTAGGGTTTATTAACCTCACATATGAATGTAACAAAATAGCAATTTTAAAACGATTTTACGAATAAGGATATTTAATCTTGTGGTTGAAACATACCGATCATGGCAGCAATGTATGTAGCTTTATAACACGATATGACGAATATATTGC